TCACTCCTTTTGGTAGGCAAGATTAGTTTTGATTGCAAAACCTATACCAGCTTCATGGCATTGCCCTTCACTGTGGCCACTCTAAAAAAATGTGTATCCAGCTCCAACTTTAGTAAGCTAGCCTTCATTTGCCAGCCTTGTTTCACTCAGGGATGCTATTTTGATGTAATATCTTCTGAGTTCTGTGGAAACAAGAGCTGTTCATATTTCAGGTCTGTGGGATTTTGTGTTGTCTATAAGTATGTGCGTGTTCCATGTGCCGATGGTGAGTGGAATCCTCTTAGCAGAAGTTTTTGTACATTTTTTTGTGTTTCGACCACAGGGTGGGATCCCTGCCTGCTTAGGCAATCAGGCAGATTATGCTGGGTAAGCAGACAATTGTTAGGACACGTTTTCTAGACCGAGAGGTGAGTAATGTGATCCATAAAAGGCTCCTTGGACACCCAGGGGGCTGCTGAATCCCACTGCTACTTCCAATGAGAAGATGACCCTATGGCCTGGACAGCTTGTGTGCAGGGTTGTGACTACAACTCCCAGTGTATCCATACCTGCTGCTTTGTCACTTGCCTGTCCCCACAGGACTTTGAGATAGGTAAAATGGTAGAATGGTATGGATGACATCTTTTGATTTGTGCGTAAATTGGGTTTAAGTGAGGCAGAATTGCACAAAGTCGTTGGCCTCACTGTCTCTTCCAGAGTCACAGTCCATTGGCAGCACAGAATCAAGACAACTGGTGATGGCTCAAGATGCAGTGGATGACCATGGCATTCCTGATGTCTGACCAAGCTGTAAGCTCTCCACAGCACCTGCTTCAGCTGCCTTCATGGCCGTTGGAACAAATTGTTCCCATCTGCCCATTCTACCAGGGAAAGTCTTCACATCCTTGAGGGTAGACATCCTGGCTCCCAACTCACCAATGGATTTGAAATTCCTTGGTTACCCCTCAACCTGGTTTAGCACGTCTGCCAAAACAGATTACTGGGGTGTGACTCCTGTGCATGCTACAGTTTCTTGGAGCTACAGGTGAGAGTTAGGTGGATCAAGTGGACACCAAAGGTGGAAAGCGGTCTTGAAAAGGGCTTAGCAACCCTCACACCAGAGCTACTAGTTTTTCCTATACTTCTATATTCTAATATTCTAATAGCAGAAGGCAACACATAAAGAAGACTGATGCCTATGCAGGAACATTTTGGATAGGAAAATATTTGAGAGAATATGGAGGTAGAATCAACAAGATTTGACAACTTGACTCATTTTGTAGGGAAAAGTAAGGAGTTAAGGCTGAATTTGAGGTTGTGAACTTGGGTTCATTAGGGGAACGGTGTTACCCTCAAAAGAAATAGGGGCATTCAGAAGGAATGGATGTGAGAGGAAAGATGATAGAATGGTTTTGGACATGTTAGACTTAAAACCCTCCACAAACTAGCTTTCCAGGCGTTTTTATAGGTTATACCCTTTACTGCACTATTTAGTCTAGCCAAGCTTCTATTCTTGTTATTCTTCACAAATATTTCATTTCTCATCTTTGCATAGGTTTCTGCCCCACCCGCATCCCATGCTTAGAATGCATTCTTTCACCTCTACCTCTTAGAATCCCAAATTTCCTTCAAAGCTCAGTTCCAAGTGTCCACTTGAAGGCCATAGGGCCTTTCCTCATTTTCCAGCTATGAGTGACTGGCTTCCCCCCTCCCGATGACTTTGTCTTTATTTTATATCTGCTGATTTATGAGTACATGTCTTCTCTCAAATAGGATATAAACTCTTTGAAAGCAGTAACTGCTTCACTTTTACCTTTGTATCTCCAGTAATTAAGTAATATTGTAGGTGCTTAATAAATGCTTATTGATTGGCCATGATGCTTTCAAAAAGTGCCATTCTATCATGTAGTTCTCTCATAGCTTGCTTATTAGATTTGTGAGTTCTTAAGAGTAAGGACCTTTTCATCGTAGGTATTCTCTCTTGCACCTAGTCTACTGGCATTGAAGACTTCCATCTAACTTCCAAGGTTCATGAATGTATGGTCAGAGGATTGTACATATAAAGCTGGAAGAAACCTTAAAAGTTATATAGTCCAATCCCCTCATTTAAAATGTAATAGGACATTGTTGGGAGACCTGTGTTAGGGTTTATATTCCTCTCCAGATTGTACTCAACTCACCCATACTTTCTCAAACAATGTCTCAGAAACCTCTTTACCCTAGAAGCTCATGCCACCCTAGACTTCACACATTGGAACTACCTTCATCCCTTGTGGCCTCTTTCTCTGATTGGGCCAATACCTCTCAGAACCTCCATTTTCAGAAGAGTGCCCAGGCTAGGTAGCCACATCTTGAGCTGCATAGCTGACTCTCCTGAACTTCCTCTACAATGCCTTCATCTTTTCTGCCTCCTACCCTACCCCTTTTCTGCTTTTTATGTATTCATTTTCCCCATTAAAGTGTAAATTCTTGAAGGTAGGAACTATGTATTTAGCTCTTAGCATAGTGCCTGGCACTTAATAAGTGTTTAATAAATGATTGTTGTCATGACTTGTTGACTTGTAGACAGGAATACCCCAATATGTATCTACTTGAGTTCTTGGAGAACCACGAGGCTGAGGGAGAAGAGTAGAGCAGGATCAAGAACTACACCTTGTGGGGCAGCTAGGTGGTGAGGTGGATAGAGCACCAGCCCTGTAGTCAGGAGGACCTGAGTTCAAATCCATTTCAGACCAGACACTTGACACTTACTAGCTGTGTCAACCCTGATTGCCTTGCAAAAAAAACAAAACAAAAACAAAAAAACACTATACCTTGAGGGGGTCACATCAGCTGGGGCAATTATAAGAGAGACAAGAAGGCTTGGGGGGAAGGGGACCAGGAAGAGGAGGTGAATGCTGAAGGCATAAGAAAAAGATAGGAGTCAAACTGTGGAAGCGACAGGGAACATCAGATATACATAATGAATGAAGCCATTCGTGCTCTTAGGTACAGAAAGGTGAATTGGCACTTTCCTGTCCACTGCTACTGGTTCTGTCTCCAGAGAAATGAGCTTGTTTCTTGATCCATATTTTTAAAGAATGATTTGCTTTCTGTTTCACCGTTTCTCTGAGATAAAACGGTTAACCATTACATTGCTGATCAGTGTGTTTCTGATACAGCCAAGTACAGACAGGAGGGGGTGAAACTCCTGGGAGAGAGAAAAAATAAATTGTAAAAATTATCTTTATGTACATATATGAACGTGTTTATGTACATATATAAACATGTATGTATTTTCGTGAAGGGCAATTTCCTGGCCAGTGCTTCAGAACCATAGATGAGGAAATTATTGATTCATATTTTTATAGTATCCCCAAAACAGAAAGAAAACAGTGATCCAGACTAGTCCTAAACAAATTGATCTTAGAAGTACTGATGGAAAAGATTTATAAGCTAGCTGGGAGTTAGCTTTTCTGAGGTTGCTCCTTACGAATTTCCCCTTCCCTGTTGTTTGAAAGGAAAATCCTTTCCCCAAAGGGGTACGTCAAGGGGAAGCCAGAGCGAGGAAGCCAGATAAGTGGGGCTGCGCTTTGGAGAGTTGGGACTACAAAGGGGGATTAGCTAAATGACTTTGCTCACCAGCTCAATATCTCTTACTACCCACAACTGCTAGTTACTGAGAGCTTAAAGTGACTTCCCCGAAGTCACGGAGGCTGTAAGCAGAACAAGGATCAAAACACAGGTCCTTGGACTCCCAATCCGGTCCATTTTCTCCCTGTATAACATTTGCGATTCTAGTGAATGGAAGGATTCTGCGTCTCTGGACTTTGATCTGCAGCATCCTGAAGGCTCAGGAAGATCTATTTAAATATGCTGCACCTGAAATCACTGCTGGTCAAAGTAGAAGTATTTAGTTCAATATTTTTCTTGCGGCCTGTGGCTCAACTTGGTATGGGTGGTTTAAACTGAAGGCAGAAGGGGAGGTAGGAGCCGTGAGCGACCATTCTTTTTACCAGTGATAAAATCTCTCCAGCCAGAACTGATGTAGGTCAAAGTGGATCCACATGGTCTGCCAAGACTGGGAATTTCACTCCCAGAGGATCTCGTGCTTCCTTGATTTAAACGCTTCTAAGGGACGAACGTCACCCTAAAATGACTTGAGTGGTGGCTTTCCCGGCCCAGAGACGAAGACAGTTTTATAATCCAAAGACTTTGAGCGAGAGATAGTAAAACAAACAAACAAAAAAACAAAAACAAAAAAAGCAAACAAAAACCGTGGTTCGCCACTCAGCTCACAAACTTACCACCCTCAGAACTACCAGATATCTACAGTCCCTGCCAAGGAAACTTGAGGGGCCAAGGTGGGAGGTGGAGTAGAAAGGGGAGGGCTTCTTTTTTGGGGCTAGACCGGTAAGTAATTAGCGTCAAAACAATGGCCCCAAGGTCCCAGAGATGCTCCCCTCCCACTTCGGGTACAGCGCAAGAGGTAATTGACTTGCTAATTATGGACGAAAGTCCATGGCAAGAAAGGAAGCTTCAGGTTGGTGGAAATGGAAAGGGGCGGGAAAGGTATTTGTAATCCGAACTAGGAAGGTGAAGATCTACCTTTCACTGCCCCACCAATAAAAAAAAAATGCAGTGGAAGGGGCAGGGGTGGAGAAGGCTGAGTTGCCCCCACCCGAGTGTTGGAGGAGAGATGGACTTCGGGCCCGAATGAGGACGGCTTTATTTGGTGGACTGGGAACCTATCTCCCCTTTTCTAGTACCCAAGCTCTGAACCATTCATTGTCTACCTGTTCCACCTGAGCTGGAGAGACGTACCCAAGGAGGGGAAGCTTCCGATCCTTCTAGGCCCTCTCTCGCACCCCGCCTCTAAGAATACTCCTCCCCTTTCTTGGAGGAGGAGGAGAGAGAACGAACTAACTCCACCAGGCGGGGGAGGGGAATGGGAAGGAGGGAGGGAACCTGTGGCCGCTTCTCCGCACCCTCGAGAAGCGGAGCCGTGCAGCCGAGGAGCCCGATCGAGCATCCCCAGTGAAGGAGGGTCTGAGTGGAAGGAGCCCAGGGGCGGCACTCCTGGCCCCACACTCCCCGGGCGTCTCTGGAGGACGAAATCAAGAGGTGGATTCTCTCTCCGTGGTCGAGCTCCCTCCGAGGATCTGGCAGGTACACGGGAGGAGCTAAGGCTGTGGCTGTGGAGTCGGGTCCCCTTCAGCGGGCGCTTCAAGTGGCCCAAGGTAGGTGTGGGTTACTAGGGCCTCTGAGCGAGAGCTATTCATGAACTCCTGGAATTTGAAAACGAACTCATTGTATAGGTAAATTGCTGCACTTCGGTTCTCTCTCTTCCTCCCCCTTCCAGGGCTGCCTCTGAAAAGTTAACTTGGATGTACTCTGAGGGTTCCCTGCACTGGGAACCCTTAAACTTGGCTTTGATAAGGAAGCCAGCGGCGGAGCTCTCCCAGGGGAGCGGGGAGAGCAGCGAACAGGGCGGGCTCTCTTTCCCTATAGTGTTAGAGGGTAACAATTGGGAAGTTCGTGGCTGTTTGTCCAGTTAATAGTTAATATCTTCATGTGTAAACCTCCCCCCCCCCGGGGGGGCAATTTAACACACCTGTCCTTGGCTCGACATAGGGGATCTTGATGCTTCTCCTAACTGTCTCTTTAACCACCTGCAGCTGAATTTTGGAGGCAAAAACTTCAAAATTCCTCAACTTAAGGCAAAAATGGAAATACAAGCAGGTCTTGATAGTTTTTCTCCTTGATCCTCCACCCCATCTCCCATAGTATTTATGCACGTGGGTTGATTAAAAAAAAACTCTGACTTAACTTTGATTAGTAAATTGTGCAGCATTCTTCATTGGGAAAAACACTGAGACTGGAGTTAGAATACCTAGACTTGAGTCCTGGCTTCGGCCGCTTCTAAATGCTGTGAGCTTTGGACAAGGCAACTCACTCCCCTCAGCCTCAGTTTCCTCATAGGTAAAATGGAGATGATAATACCTAAGACAAAGGGTTGTCTTGAGGATCAAACAATAAAACTGAATAGAAATGAGTGTATTTACTTCACAGGTGTGTTGTGAGGAAAGCCTTTTTGAAAACTAAAATGTAAATATAAATGATTATTATCAAATAAGAGAATACATACTATACAAAGGAGTTGTTTATTTTAGAGTCTGACCCAGAAATATTTTGTAAGGACATTTTTTACTATTATGTTTTGCTTGTCATAACTTGAATATACTTTATTAATGAGAAGCTCAATATTCACTGTGCAAGATAAAAAATCTAGGAAAAAAGTCAAAGTATTTTGTTTGAATTGGAGATTGATATTTCTTTGAAAACTATTTTGGTAGCAGTTTTTTCTTTGCATGACATAATTATGATTTCATGGAGATGAAAGAAACACAGCCTCTAATCAAGTGCTCTTCTGTGTAACAGATGAGGAAACTGAGGCCAGGAAAGGTTAGTTGAGTGGCTTGCCCCGGTTCAAGTGGCTAGTAAAAGGCACAAGGGATACAGTCAACCCAAACTCTTTCCATTGTACCATATAGTTCTGTTAGTTTAGAACTCAGAAACAATGTTTCAACCTTATTTGCCTTCAGGGATTAGGAGGATGCTGAAATAACACTGGAAATATGCAGCTGAAGATAAAAAAAATGTTTTTAAATTTCTCAGACTGCTTGGTTCTGTGCCTCAGTTGTTTTCTCAGCCCTTCTTTTTTGGTGTTCAGTGGAAAGATTCTGATCTAGAAGTCAGGAGACTTGAGTTCCAGCACTGGCTCCCTCATTAGCTATCTTTCAGACGTCCTGTGAATCACTTCATCTGTTAGAGTGTAAACTCCTTGAAGATAAAGACTGTTTAATTGTATTTGTCTACTTGGTATCTAGGACAGTGCCTGGCTCATAGTAGTAGGTGCCTAATAACAGTCGATGATTGATTGACTAAAACACTCTGGGCCTCAGTTTACTGAGACATTAAAAAAAAGGAGTTAGATCAGATTAGAGATAAAGAACCTAGATCATATATGATGCAAAGATTATTTGTGTTATCTCCTAAATATGTGTGTTTGGAAGCCAAAAAAAATCGTATTCCTTCACGTTTACTAAAACTGATATACACATCGAGAGAAGCAAGTGCAATTAATTAAGCTCCTTGGGGCCGTTTTCATTTTTTATTCTGGTATCCCAATTACCTAGCATGGTGACTTGAATGTAGTAGTAGCCTCTAAATAAATGTTTATTGAATTAAAGAAAAATGTATTCCTTCACTTGCCAGCATTAAAAATCATCATAAACAAACACATTTTCATCATTTTTGTGTGTCCATTGTAGTAGAACTCAATATTTTCTTTATTTCAATTGTTCTTCCCAAATGAGTGTCTCTGATCTCGGGGTCCTATTGACCCAAGTTAGGTGAAAATGTTAATTCACAATATGCGTTTCTATTTCAGGAGACCCCCTGTGGATCTGTTTTGTGAATTTTGTTAGACCTGTTGCTTAAAATCCCAGAAAAAATAACAAACTATATCAAATCAAGAAAATCATTCAAGGGAAAACCAATAGTCATTGTTATCAAAATTGTATCCTAGTTTATATTTATTTAGACAAATAAGCAAAAAGGTAGTCACTGAGCGGCTGTAGGGTCAGGACAACTGGTATTAGTTTTATCTTGAAGGTCCAGTCCTAAAATTCTTTGAACTTTGACCTTTGATTAAGTGACTTCACTGAAGAAAGTTTGCCATTTCCCTTTTCCTCCTGCTGGAGCTAGCTCCTCATCCTCACAAAGCTGCCAGCAGCCAATCAGTCACAAGCATTTATTAAATAACTACGATGTGCCAGGTACTCTACTGTGAATCCAGATACATAAATGAGACTACCTCTGCCCTCCATGAGCTTATATTCAACTGGCATTACATTCCCTTCTGTCACTACCTACTAGGAAAATTGTTTTATAGCACAAAGGCTATAAAACCCAATAGGCAACTATGCTTATTACCCCTGCTACAGCCAGAAGTATTCACCACCAAACCAGTCCCCTTGGACAACTGATTAAATAGGGATATTTTAAAATCAAGCCCTTCCGTTCACATTTTAGTATTCTTTCATAGTAAAAAATAATTTGCTATGACTTTACATGTTTTATTCTTCCCCCATCCCCCATGAATGGGAAGCTCCTTAAGAACAGTCAGTCAACAAGCTCTTTATGAAGCTTTATTATGTGTCAGACACTGTGCTAAGCACTGGGGATACAAAGAAAGACAAAAACACAGTCTTTGTCCTTCAGGAGCTCACGTTTTATGAGGGAGGCAACATGCAAACAATGGTGTGTATATATAAGATAGAAACAGTGTAAATGGGAGGTAATCTCAAAGACAAGGCATGAAGAAGGGAGGGGGAAATGGAAAGGCCTCTTAGAGAAGGTAGATTTGAGTTTGTTTGTTTTTTTAATGATTTTCCCCCCAATTACATTTAAAGACAATATTCATTTTTAAAAAATTTTTGAGTTCCAAATTTTCTCCCCCTCCCCCGAGATGGTAAGCTATTTGATATAGTTTATACATGTGCAATCATGCAAAACATTTCCATATTAGTCATGTTGTGAAAGAAGACACAGACCAAAAAAAAAAAACCCTGAGGAAAAAATTAAGTGAAAAATAGCATGCTTCAATCTGCATTCTGATTTCACCAGTTCTTCATGAATCCTTTGGAATTGTCTTAGAGGGCTATATTGCTAAGAATACCCAAGTCATTCACAGTTAGTCATCGTACAATATTGCTATTATTGTATACAATGTTCTTTTGGGTTGCTCATTTCACTTTGTATCAGTTTATATCTTTCCAGGTTTTTCTGAATCGAGTTGAGTCTTTAAGGAACCCTGGAGAATCAGTAAGTAGAAGTGAAAAGTAAATCAACAAACATTAAGGACCTGCTTTGTGCCGAACCCTTTGCTAAGAACTGAGAATACAAAGAAAGGCAAAAGACATTTACTGCAAAGGAGCTCACAGCCTCATGGAAGGGGGCATTGCAGGCACCAGGGACCTGTCAAAGAAAGGGCACTGAATTGGGGAAACAGGACATAGAGTATCATGTTGAGAGGAGCAGCATCTCTGGATTGTAAAATACTTGGAGGGGAGAAAGGGGCAAGACTAAAAGCAGATTTTGAAGGACTTTAAAAACCAAAGGATTTTAAAATTTATTCCTGAAGGTAAAAGGGAGCTACTGGAGTAAATAGGACAAATAGTATATTTTACCATACTATATTGTTGGGTTTTGTTTTGTTTTTATTTTTTACCATTTTCAGTATATATTTACTATATTAATTTACTAATTAATTAATACTATATTAATATTATACTATATTAATAGTTTTGCTATAGAAAGGCTTATATAAAAGAACTAGCCTTACTTCTCACTTCAGTTCAACCATTCATTAAACGACCTACTATGTGCCAGGAATTTTGCTGGGTATAAAAAGACAAAAACCAGAAAGAGTCTTTGCCTTTAAGTAGCTAGAATTCTATTGGAATCTCATTGAAGAAGGATTTCTAGACTAAGGTCTCCTAACTTGTAGTTCAGTGTCCTTTCCACCCTACCCTATTACCTCTAAAAATTGTCATTGTGAGTGAAAGTTTACTTATGTACAACATTCACACACACACACACACACACACACGTGTGCGCATAGGAATTTGGTTTCAAGTAATCCAACATTGAGACCCCTTTCAGATGGAAATGTGTCTAGTCAGCAGATACAGTTTATAAGAACAAGCCCCTGCAGTCTCCTATTTATGTTGTTTGCATAGCTATTTCTCCCAAGTTATACAGGTTTGGACACAAAGGAGTAGGTCCTTCTTACTCTCTTAATTCCTCCTTATTAGCCACTGTGGTACTGAAAGGCCCCAAATCTAATTTTACAAATTCTGTTTTCTTTGGGATCAGGGGAGAAAACCTTGTCTACCTCCCCTGGCTACTTGAAATGAAGCCAAGAGTGAAAAGCTTCCTGCTGGAAGATACAAGGAGAATAATTGTTGAGAGAGAGATAGAGAGAGAAAGAGACAGCTTGATTGAGGATTCTGACCTTGGGCTCTGTTCTGATTTTCAAGTTTCCCTATTCAGGCCTTGGCTATTCCATATAGATAGCTCAGATTACTATCCTGCTGCCTCAGAGAATGTTGCCAAAACATAATCTAAGATTTTGGGTTGGGATTGATTTTTTACCCTTAAATTTTTAAGGCAGTGAAAGTGGTTTCTCTTTTTATCTCTTTTTTTTTTTATCCTTCCCATACCTCTTTCCCTCAATTTCATTTCCTTTCACAGATTAGATGGCAGGCATTAAGCTTCCAAACGTCCTTGAGTGTTTACCAATTAAATCTATCTTTTTCAAAAGGGGCTGTGATTTGGTCTTTGTTTCATCCTGTGTCACAGGAAATGTTAGCCCTTGGGATGGATTCAAAATTGAGCCTTTCTGTTGAAAAATCTATCTCCAGTCTCAGACTCATCCAATCCTGTTTGAAATAGACAGTAGTAGAATAGAACACAGCAATTTCTATCTCCCTCTAAGGACAGAGTAAAGGGAAACTGAGGCAGCTAGGTTGGGCATTGAATAGAATGCCAGGCCTGAAGTCACATAGACTCATCTTCCTGGGTTCAAATCTGTCCTCAGACACTTAACTAGCCGTGTGAGCCTGGGCAAGGCACTTACCCCGTTTGCCTCAGTTTCCTCATCTGTAAAATGAACTGGAGAAGGAAATGGCAAACCACTCCAGTGTCTCCACCAAGAAAACCCCGAATGGGGTCTCAAAGAGTCAGGTAAGACTGAAACTACTGAACAACAACAATAATGGGAAATTATGAGGATACAGTTATATTCATTTTTTTTTCAGACAGTAAAAGTAATTCATCATAGAATTGTAGAGTTTTAGAGCTGAAAGGAACCTTAAAGCTTATCCATCAGCAATCATTTTATAAACAAGGAAACTGAGCCCAGAAACCAAGACTAGAATTAGGACTACAGTCTTCTCTCTTTCAGTTGAGTGCTTTTTCTCCTATCACCACTAGATTGACAAGAGTAATGATTTATGTTGAATTGAATCAACTTCCTGTCATCAGGAAAAGCAAACCGTTGCCAGAAAACAGCAATCAGCTTTCTGCCCTTTCTGAGCAGATCACGGTAACCTGCCTTGTTCAAGAATTTAGTGTCTGTGTTAATCTTTTAGAGTACTATGACTAAGGTATTGGAGTTTTTGGCAGGCATAGGGCAGGGAGGAAACCTGCCAAGTGGGGTGTCTGCCTGCACAGTGGCTGATTTCTAACTAGGCATCGTCCTCCAGCTGTTACAGGGCCATTTAAATTTGAACCTGGCATCCAAAACTTTCAGCCAAAGCAAATTCATACATTTTAAAAGATTTTCTGTGGTGGCTTCTGTTTTCTTTTCCCAGAGAAAACTAGGCTTCAAAAGGATTTCTATTATTGTTTTAAAGCAATAGAAAAAAAGGATAGTGGGAGAATGATCCTTTCACAAAAGAGAAAAAAAGTCCTTGCAACAAGTCATATTTACCTTATCATTTATTTTTATAATAAAATTGCAAAGTTTAATGAACTTGTAATATGTGATCTTATGCATGGAGCTGCTGGAGAGAAATGCTAGTCTTCGATTCAATAATATGCTAATTCTTACGAATAACGGCCCCATTTCATTAAATCAAAAATAGCAATTTGACAAACATTAACTGTCTACCTAGTCATGGGGAGGATACAAGATGAAAAATAACAATGATCCCTGCCCTCAACAAAACTTCAAACTTAACAAGGGTGATGAATTGTACCCAAGTAAGTATGATACAAGTTAGAATGTGATAAAGGCAAAGGAGAGAACCATATAAAGTGCCATAAGAACATACGAAGAAGGAGAAATCCCTCTGAACTGGACAGAGAAGGTGGTACCTGAGCCCTTACCAGAAGAAAGAGAGGGATTTCAGTAGATGGAGATAGGGAAGAAGTATGTTAGAAGCATGGAAGATTGCTCAATAGAAAAGGGGAAAATGAATGTCATGTGAGACTGAAAGGCTTCAAGAAAGTACTTTGGGGAAAAAAGACAGAGCACGAACTAATGTGATAGCAATCTCAGTAGAAAGAAAAAGACCAATGACAAAGGTTATGATCAACAAGCATTTATTAAACATCTACCAAGCAGGATGATAGGCACTAGAGAAACACCCCCCACCCCCCAAAAAATGGAAACAATCTTTGCCCTCAAAGAACTTAACATTTTGTAGGAGGAGATAACATGTACCCATAGAAGATTATGAAGGTTGAATGGAAAGGATTTAGCAACTCTTTGGATACAAGGGCTGAGAGTCAAAGGGTTAAAGTTTCAAGCCTTGTTTATGCTTAATGTTTATATCACGATATAAAGAACTTAAATGTTCATTCAAATGAGCTCATTCAGCTTATCTGCAGATGGGCATGTTTCATACCTGGGCATGGATAGACAAAGTGGTTCAGTGAAAAGGGCATAGGCCTCAGGGTCAGAACATCTGGTTCATGTCTAGGTTCTTACATTTAATAGTTTTGAGAATGTGGATTAGTCCTTTAACAAGCTTCAGTTTCCTCATCTGCAAAGTGGGGATGACTAATAGAATACTTACCTCATAAAGTTATTATGAAGAATACACTTTGTGAACCATAAAGTGCCATATAAATGTAAACTATCACTATTGTTAACAGATGTGTGGTTGAAAAAGGAAGATTGTTACAGTTCCCTGCTTGTTTTCTGTATTCAATGAGATACTAAATGTTAGAGGCAGTGTTGCATAACAGAGAGCCCACCTTAGAGTCAGAAAGACCAAGGTTCAACTCCCTCTTCTGACACAGGTTCATAGATTTAGAGTTGGAAGGGATCTCAGGACCCATCAAATTCAATGCCCTCATTTTACCAAGGAAGAAACTGAAGCACAGAACAGTTAAGTGATTTGCCCAGGGTCACACAGCTAGTGTCATAGTCAGGATTAGAACTCATGATTTCATGAAGAGTACTCTCTCCATGCCACCTAACTATCTCTGTGTGGCCTTGGGCTAGCTGCTAAACCTTTCAGTGCCCCTGGCAGCTTTCTGAGAGCTTGCACTAATGTGCTTTAAGAGACGGAATTCCTCTCTCTGTGCTCCCAAAAGCATTGAAACCCCACATCTTGTTAAAAAAGATCTTTGTTAAAAGTTTAAAAAGAAACACACAAGACCTTGAATTACCTTCATCTGGGCAGATAGAGTGCCTGAGTGAGGAAGACCTGAGTTCAAACTCCACCTCAGACACTTATTTGCTGTGTGACTCTGGGCAAGTCTTAACCTCTGCTTGCCTCAATTTCTCCAACTGGAAAATGGGGTGGTGGTGGTGGTAATAAGAGCACCTATGTTCCTAGGGTTGTTCCCAGGATCAAATGAGATAATATTTATAAAGCACTTAGCAGAGTTTATAATACTTATAATATATATCATCCGAAACACAATAGACACAATATAAATGTTAGCTATGATGATGATAATGATTATAACAGATTGAATCCATTTCTCAAATTTGTCCCACTGGACACTAAGAACTAAAAAAATATTGAGCCTTGGCTTCAGGTTCAGGCTGCCTGTGGGTATCCTTTCCCTTTGTTTCCTCCATCCCAAAATGTCCCATCCTCTCCTCTGCCAAAAACTTTCCTGGCTCCTAGAGGGCAAGTGGGGGCTTGTGCAGGCATCTGCTCTGTTGTGCTGGAGTTAACAAAAAGAAAACACGCTTTTTTTGGGGGGGGTGGTATTAGAAAAACATAACTGTCTTCCTGGTGTATTCTGAGACTGAAATTTCTGAGGGAATGCAATAGCTGCCTGGTCAGGGCAGGGCCTCATCCTTTCTGTCGTTCTTGTCCCACTTTCCCCTTTGATTGTGTTTAGGGAACTCTTGATTGCCTGGCTTGCAGTATTAAGTATCAAATTGTCTCTTTGATCATGTAGAGTCTTGAGTCTCCCTTGTCGTCTGAGGCTGGAAGATCCCAAGACAGACTTTAAACCAATCAGGACTTGAGGTTCAAGTCATTTCAGAAGCATCTTGAAATCAGAGGACGAGACACCATTACATTGAGTGAAGGCGAAACAGGCAAAGTGATGGATGGTAGTTCCCTTCGTGAGAATAGCATGGGTTAACAGCATTTTAAAACTAGAAAGGGGCATTAGGAATAATTTAATCTGGAATTCTTTTGTGCAAGTAGATTTGTGGTTTAGTGGAGAGAACAAAGAGATTCGGAGTCAGGGGCATCTGGTTTGAATCCTCATTCTGCTCTTCTATATCTATGTGAATGTAGACAAATACCTCAAGTTCTCTGGGCATCAGTTTCCTCATCTGTAAAATTAGGAGTTTGATATTACTAGCTTATCCCTAAAGGCCTGTCCATATCTAAAGCCTAGAAATGAAACTGCAAAGAGATAGTGGCCTAGGTATCATCCTTGATTTCTCACTCCTCAGCCCCACTCCCATATCCAGTCTGTGGCCAAGTCTTGCTGATTTTGCCTTTGAAACATCTTCCATATACATTCCTTTATCTTCTCTGATGCTGCTACCACCCTGATGCGCTTTATCACTTCATTTCACTAGCCATCTGGTTGGTTTCCCTGCCTTCAGTTTCCCCACTTCAGTCCATCCTCCTCATAGTTAGCAAATCGATCTTCCTAAAAGTGCTAATCTGATCATATCATACACAACCACCCTCATTCAACAAATGCTGGTGGTTTTCTATTACTTCCAGGATAAAATATAAAATCTTAGGTTCGATTTTAAAGCCCTTCATAATTTGACCCTTTCCACAATCCTCTTATACTTTACACCCCTCTGTGAACTATTTAGTCCAGTGACACTGGCCTTCTCACTCTTTCTTACAGAAGACACACCATTTCTTGACTCTGGGCACTTTCAGCGACCATTCTCCATGCCTGGAATGCCTCCTTATCCTAGTTCTCCTCCTTCACCCTTCCCCCAACTTTTGCAAGAGGCCTTTCCTTGTCCACTTTGATGCTAAGGGCCTCACTTCTGAGATTACCTCTATTCTATCCCATACACGTTTTGTTTTTACTTAGTAGTTTCTATGTTTCTCCTCCTTTCGATTGTGAGCTCCTTGAGGGCATGACCTGTTTTTGCTTTTCTTTGTATCCCCAGTGCTTAGCACAGAGCCTGGCATATAGTAGATGCTTAGTAAATGCTTATTCTTTAGGATTCAAAGGTATACAGCTGTCTAGTGACTCTTAATTCTGTGGTCTTTCCATTACACCATTGGGCAGACATGTCTCTGTATATGCTTCCTGGTTGCATGAGATTAAGAAATTATTCCCATGTGCTTTATTGGAGCGTGTGGTTGAAGCTTGGACGTTAAGCTGTAACTGCTGAAAGCTCTGTTAACCCATATGATCTAACGATGGCTTATTCTTTCATTTCATGCCTTGTCTTTTCTCTTTTTCCCCTTTCATTCCTTTCATCATCTTGCCCCCTAAGGTTGGGAGTGGTGACAAATAAGGGGAAAAACACTTTGCTAAAGTTTCATGAAAGCCCTGTCTATCATTGTTTGTCCCCTTTGAAAGGCAACTCTAATTTCGTACAACTCACAACTTCTGGAAACTTCCTTTCTCCCTTCCCTGGAGTCATTTGTTCTGATTAGAGGCACTAGACAAAAGAAACTTATGTCTGACAATGGCCTTTATTTTAATACCTTTATAAACATGAGTTGCAGGTTGTTTTGAATGTCAGAGCCTTTTAAACAATTGAAAGCAGGCAAGTTTGTTGGGGAACATTTGAAGTTTTAGAGCCAGGATTAAGAGTTATGTGGCTTTCTACCTCCAGCTATTGCCTAGTCCCTAAACTACTTCATCCCTGAGTATTGTGGTTTGAGTAGATTTGTGTGTGTGCACGAATGCAGAGATGATAGAGTGTGTGGAATAATACAAAAGCCAACATTTAGGGCAACTCAAGTGGAGAATCTTTGAGCTAACAATGATCAAGTCGTGTTGACTGCATTTTGGATCAGAGACGTCAGAGTGAGCAGAGGGAGAAGAGAAGACTGAATGAGTCGAGGCACAAGATAGGTAGTCTTGGTGCTTGGCTTTATATTGGTGGTCTTAGAGAACACAAATTTTTTATGTGTTTGACATTTCATGGACTTTGCAAAATTCACACATCAGACTTTGGGTGGTCTTTTCAATTTAACAAATATCTATATTACGTGCTAACTGCCTTTCCAGATCCCCTTTCATTCTAGTGCCTTCTTTCTATAATTATCTCCAATTCATTTTGTTTCCCCACCTTTTAATAGTATTTTATTTTTTCTAATTACATGCAAAGATAGTTTTCAACTTTCACTTTTGTAAGAATTTGAGTTCCAAATTTTTTTCTCCCTTCCCTCCCCCTTCCCCAAGAAGGCATACAATCTGGTACAGGCTATACTGTACAATCATATTAAACACATTTCCATTCTAATTTATTTTATATACATCTTGTTTGTACATAATTTTTTGTACAGCTTTTCGAGGGCAAAGAGTATTTCACTCTTGTTTTTGCATTTTAGTACCTAGTATGGTGCTTGGCACATAGAACTTAATAAATGTCTGTTGATTGAATATGGCCTACTTGTGAAGTGTGTTTGCTTAGAAAAGGCAAAGCTATATCTTTGCAGGGGTATTTGCTGGAATTTGATAAATTACTTAATAGTGGTTGTTTTTTTCCCCCTACTATTCAGTTTGATCACCATGAACCTGATATTGTTCCTGGAAGCTGTCTGTGTTTTTCTGTTTGGCCAAGGTATGTTTATGTAGTCTTTGTCTCAGCCTTCTTATTGATATATATGTATGTGTGTGTGTGTGTATATATATATTTTTTAAATCACCAAGTTCTAAGCCAGATGACACCTACTAAGTGAGAGAAAAACTGTAAGAGCACCTGCCCTGAAGTCAGGAAGGCCTGAGTTTAAATGTGGCCTCAGATATTAGCTTTGTGACCCTGGGCAAGTCACTTAACCCCGATTGCCTCAAAAAACAAGAAAACAAAACAAGAAAAACTATAAGAAATCCGTAGAAGGCAAAGAAATTGGAATAAATCCTGCTGAGCATAGCTGAAGAAGCCCAAGCTTAGCAGTTGCTTCTAAGTCCTCTCCCGGAGTAAGTTCTCATTTGCTGCCTACAGTTAGGTTAGGCAGAATCCAAGCAGGCTGACAGCCCCCAAACCACCAGGCTCTTCCCTGAGGCCGAACATACCTCTTGGAAACTTGTGGAATTAAGTTGATTGCTCAAGACTAATTGTTGATCCACACTCATCTCCCTAACTAAGCAATTTGCCTAACAACCTAACAGGGAACCAAAGTCTATGAAAAGCTTAGAGAAGACTATGTTGTATAGTGGAAAGAGTACAGAGTAGGGATTCAGGAGACCTGGAATCGAGTCTCAGATCTGCAAGCTGTGTGACTTTGGTCCAGTATCTGACTTCTCTGGTCAGTCAAGTTTTCACTGGCAAGTGCCATGATTAGACCAGATGATTTCTAAGTCAAATCAAGAAGAATTTATTAGGCGCTTACTATGTGCCAAGCAGTGAGCTAAGTGCTGGGGAGACAAAGGCAAAATCAGACCCTACCCTCAAGGAGTTTACAATGTAATGGGGAGACACCATGCAGACAAATATGTACAAGTTAGATCCAAACAAGATAAATTGCAGATAATCTCAGAGGGAAGGCATGTTAAGGGGGACCAGGAAAGACTTCTTGAAGAAGGTGGGATTTCCAAAGTCTCTTTCAGTTTGAAAAATAATTCTTTCTACCTTTTTCTTTTTTTGGGGGGGGAAGGGGGGCAAAACCCTATATTGTTTCTTAAGTTCAGACAAAACCTCTGAGCTCATGATTGTCCAAAAATGAAGAATGTTAGGGTTGGAAGAGACCTCTTTAATCTCCTCATTTTACAGCTGAGGAAATTGAGTCTCCAGAGAGTTAGGAGACTTGTTCCTGGTTACAGAGCCAGTTAAAGGAAAAACCAGTGTTATAACTCGGGCCTTTTGAATCCTAGTAGATGTGACCCCCAATGTTTACTTCTTCCTGATGCATCCTGTTCAGTGGACCAACTTTGGAAGAGTCCAACAGAGTTTGCCATTCATTTTCAGCAGAGACTACATTCATCCTTTGCTTGCTTCCCAGGAATCTGCTTTCATTTCATCAGGCTAGCTTAACAAAGAGGCTGTGAGTAGGTGGTACAGAGCCTAAGCCTCCACATTGGCAACATGTTACATTTTTAGGCTAGATGTTCCTAAGTAGAGAATTAGCTTTAGGCGCTGACAGGTTTATGATCTCTCACAGCCAAGCACCCTCTTCAGTTCTCATCAGAGACCTGTTCCTCAGAGACATGATTTGACTTTACTCCAGCCACAGCCCCCAAAGTAGCCATTAAAACTTTTTGAAAGGAATAGTCTTTTTCTGGGTGTTGCAATATCTTGGCAATGCCTTAGCTGCTTCCCTTCGCCAATCTAGCAGAAATGATTTGATTTCTTCATTCAACAAACATATATTAAGTAACCTTCTCACCCTGGAAGTTCATTCTGCTCCTGTGGTCCCTTCCTTTGATCGTTTGGTTCCTCCCAGAATGAGTAGGATGAGTAAATTTAGACTTATTCATCCTTTTTATAAAGGCACTTGTATTTGCATGTGACATTACATTTTACAAAGGCATTAGCATTTACATTTAACATGGATAAGATTGCTTTCATGCCATCTTTGCTTTAGACAAAAAAAATATTTGAAGAGGGGAAATTACTTGTAGCACACCACCCAGTGAGAAATTCACTTTCTTCATCTGGGTTTTTCCCTTTCTTATTGTTTCCCAGTATTTCCCTGAAAGTCTTTGGTTACCTTGACAAATTCCTCCTGGCCCCAGGCAGCCAAAGTTTACATATTTTTTTGGCAGAAAGGTTTGATGTGATCATGCACTTAGGGACAGGCCTTTTCTTTTCTTTTTTAGGCAATTGGGGTTAAATGACTTGTCCAGGGTCACACAGCTATAAGTGTCAAGTGTTTGGTCTGAGGCTGGATTTGATTTGAACTCTGGTCCTCCTGACTTCAGGGCCAGGGCTCTATCCACTGCACCACCTAGCTGCCCCTGGGACAGGCTTTTTCTAGCAAGCTTTCTCATTGCCCTGCAAAAGCTGACAAATTATTAATCAGGCGTGACTAATATGAAATTCTAAAAGCAAAATGAATGAGTATTCTTTGATTACTTAAATAAATATAAACAAACATAATAGTGCAGGGCTAGGGAGCTGGGACATAGGCAGGGTATTACTGGGACTTGGCCTTAGTGCAGTGGCTAGAGTGTTGGACTTAGAGTCAGGAATACCTGAGTTCAAATCCTGCTTCAGCCTCTAATCAGCTCTGTGACCCTGAGCAATCATTTAACCTGTCTGAGCCACAGTATCTTTACTGCAGAATAGGGATAATGACAATACCACTTACCTCACAGGATAAGTTATGAGGATCAAATGAGATAATGTATGTAAAGTACTTTATAAACTTTAAAACATTAATTAGCATTACTTTATATTATATATACTTTATATAGTATATGTATATATATTTTCTAGATGCATTTACATGCTTTATATCTAAATTATTATTACATTATAGTCGTATTTTTGTCCAAACTCATGATTTCATTCAGGTTGGGAAACTCTTGGTGTGGAGACACCTTCCACTGATGTAGTTCATCAAATCTACTTCCCTTGTAGTCCTAGGATGTTACCTGAGGGGTTACATGACTTGTTCTTGGTATTGTGTCTAAGCCAGGACTGGAGCCCAGGTCTTTCTGATTCCAAGGCTTGCCCTCTGTCTGTATTGCCTGTCTTCTTATTACCGATATTGTGCAAATAACTGGGCAAGAGATAAAGCACATAAAAACTCCTAGAGCTTTATCTCTCCCTTGATATTTGTCAATATGCATTAAACAGAAATGTTCACCTGCCTTTAAAAGCATGCTGGTATAATTGTTTTCTATTTATTTGTTCCCATAGTGCTACCATCTTTCACTTTCCAGGAACTCTATGCAAGCCAGGAGACTATTGTGAAGATTTCAGCTGCCAGTCAATGTAAGTTTCTATTTTAAACAGAAGAGATGTCCAAGCACCTATTTTTATTTCCCAGGGACTTTTTGCATGATGATGTGATATTCCTACTCCAGATAAGTCATTATCATCACCAAAAGCATTTAGTGACCTACCATCCTTCTGAGAGGTCACAGTATGGGACAGGCAAGTCTAGGCAAGTGTACAGGACAATCAGCTAGCTCCATAAACACTGCATAGTAGTTGTATAGTAGAGTTACTTGCACGTACTCCAGGGTTAAAGTAATCTAGGGGTGAGGAGGCAATTTTAAGTCCATAGAGTGGGGGATACCAGGTAAAGTGGCCAGGTGAGTAAAGAGGATGGATAAAGAGAAGTAGATACATCCTTAGCTAATGAGTTACCTGCTGAAAAGTAGAATCATAAGTAAAGTTGGAAGGTACCTTAGAGATCATCTGTTCCAATCCTTAACCTCCCTTTTTACAAATGAGAAAACTGAGGTCCAGAAAAAATGAAGGTTTTCATCTAATGGTACACAACTAGTTGCTCACTGAGCCAGGGTTAGAAACCAGGTCTCCAGGCTCCAAATCCTGGGCTCTTCTGACTAGACCATGTTGCATCCACCATTTAGTTGCATTTAAAAAATAGGAGCAACTGAGGGCCATGTCAAGTTGGGTTTTTACCAATTGGGGTTTGAAAACAACTTATTACACTTAGCTCTGTCCATTTTTCTGGAAGCCCCAGGACCACATCTAAGATGGCAATCACTGACTTTAAACCAGTACCTACCTTGGTTCTAATCTCACTTACTAAAACTGATGCTATTCAAGTTCACTGACCTGATAGTGGTGGGTGCAGATATTTGGTAGTGACAAAAAAAATGTAGCAATAGAATGTGTGATTATTGGTCACCTTGGTCCACTTCTCCCAGGGTACTTATTTCAGTCCATATGAACTATTTATAATTTTAATTGGAATCACCACTGAGGATGGCCAGGATGGACTAGAAATGATGTCATATTATTAGAGCTGAAATGACTTCTCAGGATCAGAAGGAATCTTGCTGACCCAGCTCTGACTTTCTTTCCTTCCCAACTTTTGAGAAGCAGCACAATGAGGTAGCCAGAGTACTGGATTTAGAGTCAGGAAGACGTGGCTTTAAATCTGTCCTCAGACATTTTCTAATTGTGTGACCCTGGGCAAGTCACTTAACCCCGATTGCCTCCCCTCACAAAAAATACTAAATCCTACATCTGACACTGCCTAGCTTGTATGACTGTATAAATCACTTAACCTCTCTGGGTTTTAGTTTTCTCAAATGTAGATGATGGACTAGATGATTTCTAAGGTCCCTTCCAGTTCTCGCTCTGTGATCCTATAATTCTATAAACTGTACTTATAGACACAAATAGTATAATAAATTTTGGAACTTTAAGTGATGAGGACAATGCTGATGCTTCTAAGAACTGATTTTTAATTTCTGAAATTTTAGTTGAAGGTAGTTTTGATTTAAAAGTCTCTTGGGTCAGTGAAATGATGGTTAAACTCCTTTCTATAATCAAATCCTTACCTTTCCCCATTTCCCCAAATTACACACAAATGTATGTTGTCCTGTAACCAAGGGTGTACTGGAGCCAACTCCTGCCAACAAGCTGATTGTTAAATTTTCAGTGTGATCATTTACAATTTAGAAATCAGTAAACATTACAAATCAGGACTTGGTTTATTTTTTTTTTTTTGTTACCTAGACTTAAAGTGATGAAGAAAATTTAATAGTGCAGATTAAACTAAAAAGTATGGCTTGCAGTATTACCCCTCCCCAAGCTGGTTGTTAAATATTTACTATATGCCTATAATCCTCATGTCTTGATAAGCTAAGGTTGCCCCCAATCATCCAGACATGCTAGTAAGCATGGTAGAGTGGAAAATGCACTGAATTAGGAGATAGAACACCTGGGTTCAAATTATGGCTTTTTTACTTGCTACCTATGTGCACAAATTATTTTACATCTTGGGTTCATAGTTCCCTCATCAGGGCTTTGATGATCTATGGCCCATTCTTGCTGCTCTAAATCTTATAATAAATGCTTGTTGAATTAAATTGAACTCTGTAAACAGAGATTCTTTTTTTCAGGAATCTCTGGAAAGAGACAGTCTGGGAATATTGTCACAGTCCCTTCTGCTAATCCTATCTTTCTAGACTTCTTTAAGTTGCCTGGGTGAATAAGCATAAAAAGCCATTGGCCAGGTCACTGAAAAGAGCTCAAAGTTGTGTTGAACTGTGTATTTCGTGACCAGTCTGCACGTTGTTGGGTCTTGCCTGCCCAAGTGTGGAAAAAACCTGAAGACCTTAAACCATTATTTTAGAAATCCACTTTTATTCACATTGATTAGATCACAGATCCATTGAAATATTGAAGTATAATAACAATTATAATGCCAAGCTGGGGTGTCCTCTTTTCAGAGGAGTGCATATGGTATGGGCAGTTTTGGCCAGGCTATTAGCAGTGACAAGATACAGTTCTAACCAGAGACCACACCAGCAGCAGCTTGAAGTCCTAGCTATCATTAACACAACTGTGTCTTTGAAGCATGTCTATTGCTTATTGTTTGCTGTCTTGTTTCTCCAAAAGAGATTTTTACATGTTGCCCAAAGAAAGTTATTTCCCCAAAATGCACAGTGGTGGAAAAGTACATACAAGTCCAATTGTGATACCATGGCAAAAATACTGGCTCTGGATTCAGAGGAGCTGGGTTCAAAATCTACTTCTGATGCTTACTACTTGTGTGACCCTGGTCAGGTTACCAACCTCACTAAGCCTTATTTTATTCCTCTATAGAACAAGAGTCTTGTATTAGGTGGTCTCTGAGGTCCCTTCCAACTCTAGAGGATCTATAATCTTATGATTGAAATAAAAAACTGTCAGCTCATAAAATAAAACAATTAAAATTCTAGTATTTTTCTATTTACTCAACAAAAGGTTTTTATTTTATAATTTTGTGACTAAATTTTTTAAATTAAAAATTTTTTTTTAAATTCTGAGATGTGGTTTTTCGTAGCAAATATATGTTCTTAACTTCATTGTTTACCAAACATGACTCATAATTTTTTTCTGCCAATTTGCTGCTGCCCTTAAGCCTGTTTCCAAAGACAAGTTCCCTATTCCCTAGACAAGTTCACCCAAACCCAGGTGATACCAGGGCCCTGCAGGAGTTAAGTTTGGAACTCAGGTGGGCCATTGTAATCCAATATCTGAACTGGTTTAACATCCATATGAACTAGTTCTATATCTTTTGGACAAGGGAAAATGAAATCATCTTTTCTATTTTGGAAAAATAAGTGAAATGTGATCCCAGTCAAGGAATTAACAAACACAGACCTAGGGGCTATGCAAAATATTAGAAAGCTAGGCATTTGCCCAATGGCATCATTTTTTTTATTAATTTATTTTGATTTATCAACAATCACTTCCATAAGCTTTTGAGTTTTAAATTTTTCTCCTCTCTTCTCCCCTCCCTCCCCAAGATGGCGCTCAATCTGATAGGCTTTACATATACATTCCTATTAAACATATTTTCACATTAGTCATGTTGTAAGGAAGAATTTGAACCAATAGGAGGAGCCATAGGAAAGAGGAAACAAAATAAAACAGAAGAAAAAAATTGGCAAATAGTATGGCATCATATTTAAAATGAGAGAAATAGATGTGAACAGGCGAGGACACACAGCCTCCTTATACCAGTTTGTCTGGTATTTAAAGGGAGCTTCTTCAGAAGAGTAAGAGCAGCTATTTGATGCTGAAGGTGATGAGCTTTTTTCTGGTCCATTTGATAGACATCTCTAGCTTAATTGGAGGTACCCTAGATTGAGAGCAGGGAAGGGATGGGACAGGAGCAATGGGGAATGACATTAAGGCATCAGCTGATACACCTAAAACAGGATCTGTGATACAGAGAGGGAGGATATCTGTTTCTGTCTCCTTGTTCTGAAGTACCAGAGATAGGTCCTCCTCCCTGAAGAGGAAGGGTCAAGAAAATGTCCTAATTTTTAAAGCATTTGACTTCTTAGTGTGGCAGAGAACTAGCCTCAAAGCCAAAAGACGTGGGTTCAAATTCTGCTTCTGACAAATAAAGGCTTTGTGACTCTGGATAGGTCATTTAATCTCTCCATGCTCTAGAAATTCCTCAATCTTTAAATTGCTGAGAAGGCACCAAACTGTACTGTTAGAAAGAAATTCTTTATCTGAGAGTTTCCTACACCAGTGAAATCATAGGTCTAATCCCTATCCTTATATATACTTTATTTACATGACCCTGTTCTGCAACAACCAAATCTCTATTCCTATTTGTCTCTTTGTGTTGCTAAGTTATCACACTGACCAAGACTTACGGACATTTTTGCTCACGATCCTCAGTCATGTTACAATTTATTTATTTTGGTAGCCACGCCATCGGTGCCACTTTCTTCTGCTGGGTAACCTTCACTTCCATATCCCTGAAAGTAATAACAGGTCACATTTATATAGCAACTAACAGTTTGCAAAGTGTTTTTCTCCCAATAATCCTGTGAAGTATGGAATACAATTATTATCGCCAAGTAAGAGATGAGGAAGCAGATCCAAAGGGTTTAACTGACTTGTTCAGGTAACAAGGTAGAGCCAGCACTTGAAACCAGGTGTTCTGACTCCTTAAGTCCAGGGTTCCTTCTGTTTAGGTACCACACTGACATTCTATGAATATTTATAGACTCTCTGTTCTGTCAGCATAGTATAAAGTATGGTTCCCCAACTGGTTACAAAGTGTTGACCCAAGTCTAATAACTGCTTGCCAGGGTGAATATTGCTAAGATGATGTTCACAGTATCAATTGGTGGTATTTTCTGGAGGGAATCCCATGTATTAATTTGGTCTACAATGGATCTGCATTGACACCTAGGTTCTTCTCTGTCCTAGTGATGCATTGCTCTGCTGCCCTGGATGTCCTGCTTGCCTTGGATGGCTCTCACAGCATTGGGAAAGGAAGTTTTGAAAGGTCTAAGTACTTTGCCATTAAATTGTGCGATGCTTTGGCCATCGGTCCAGATAGAGTGAGTACCAATCTTGTTGGTCTTTATAAACCTAAAAACTTTACATGAGTGATACCAAGAATGAATCTAGCCCTTTCCAAATTTATAGACACTCTCCTCTTACCAAACGTAATGAAATTAGCATCTTTGTACACTGGTAGTACCTCTTCTTTGAGAGCAATAGGTGAATTCCTTGAATCTCCTTTCTGAAAATTGGCAGCTTCATTGGGAAAACCATAATTTTCTTGAATTAGAGATCAGAGTAACACACATAGTGTGAGCAAGAAAGCAGGATTCTAAGCTGACATTCCTAGGTTAATCTCAGGGAAACCAACAGGCTTTTAATTAGGGCAAACCTTTTCCTGCTTTGGGGTGTCATTATGGGAGAATGATCATCTTGTATTGGAGAGTTTGACCTAGCATAGCATTTAATGCCTTTACCAATATAGCAGTACCTGTATGCTGGCTGAAACGGACCTATAACCAGCCCTAGAAAGGAACAGGTATGTTGGATATAGATTGAAAGCTTTTGCCCATATCACCATGCTAAGCTACTTTTTTAAAAAATTAAACTTTTTTTCAATTAATAAGCATTGTTTTCCTTCAACTGCCCCTCTTTCCAAAAAACACGCCAGAAAAAAAAAAGAAAAGAAAAACAAAACCTTTATAACAAATATTGATAATCAAGCAAAACAAATTCCTAAATTGGCCATGTCTAAAAAATGTGTTTCATTTTGCATATTTAGTTGGTTTGCTTTCTGTAAACACATGTAGGGAAGCACTTTGAGAGGCAGATCTCAGCTGTCATAGAAATTCTAGAGTTCAGAGTTGGGAGAGACTCCATAGTGCCCTCTTCCCATCTCCTTTTCTCTACAGATAAAGAGGCTTAGGTCTGGGGACCCTAAGTGAATTGTGCAGTTCACCTAGCTAACTGGTTGCAGAACTTGTTGAGCCCCAAGGTCTTCTGACCTGTAGTCTAAGTCTCCACTGGAGAGACAATGAGAATGTTGTCGACACTTTTATTGGATGTAAAGCGGTAGAATAAAGAAGCTTCCTAGATTCGTGGCTATGGGGAACAGATTCCAGTTTATGCTCCTCCTCATTTTGAAGTGAGGCAATGACGCCATGACATGACACTGCCTTAATCTGTTTCACCCATCACTTGGATTGGAGTAGTGCCAGGGTAAGAACTTGTGCATTTGATGTTGCTGTAAACAGCTGTCCTTAGCCATCCTCTGAGCCTTTCCCATCTGACAGATTCCATTTAGAACCAGCCAGTTAGGCAAACTTTGGGGAAATTTTTTCAAGTCTTATTCCATATGTCATCAGCAAAAAAAAAAAGTCCAGTATTTGAGATAGAAGGTGCCAGATGACATTTGGAGTATCTCCATTCTAAGCTCCTCATTTTAAGAGAGAGGATGTCAAACTAGGATGTGTCCAGAGAAGGGTGGTCAGGATGGTGTGGGAACTTGAAACTGTGTTATCTGAGGAATGATTGAGGAGAGGAAAAGACTTGGGGATGGATAGAAGAACTATCTTCAATTATGTGAAGAGTGATCATATAAAAGAAGGAGACATGTTGTTCCTTGGGGCAGAACTTGAACCCTAGGAGGCAGAACTGGGCTTAATATAAACATCTTTCTAACAGAGCTGTCCTACAATGATGAGCTAGGGTGCTTTTGGTCACTGGAGGCATTCAAACAAAGGCTGAAAAACCACCTGTCAGGTATGTTGTGAAAGAGATCCTTGCATGGGTTAGGAGTTTGGATGAGATGGCTTTCTTTTTTAAAAGGTCTTTTTTTATTCTGAGATCTTATGCAGTTGTAAATGTCCAATTGAAGGGAAACACATTGAGTTTTAAGGACCACCTAATAGGTTTATTCTTTCCATCCTTTTTCCCCCTTGTACTATTTGTACTTCAGGATTTAGCTTTGTCACCCACACTTTTTACAGATCTTTGTCTTCCTAGTGTTATCTCCAAGGATGAGCTGATGACTTGTAACTTACTTTGCTTTTCATACTTTTGCTTTTAGGGAAGAAACTTTTAAATAAACAGAAATTAAAGCATTTTAGTGTTGCCATCTTGTTAGGGGGTGGATTTAAGGTATTTGAAGTCTTCCTCTTGGCTTTTAAAAGCACAGAAGTTCATTTCCTGTATATAATATGGTAATTACACCATGGTCTAAAAAGCTATGCTGACCTTACTCCTTCACACACAGTGAACTGAGGCAGGCGAAGATGACTGTTTTTCTTCTAAACCATCAATTATGTTAAATGCCTTAACTTTTGAACTGCTGGTTTAAGCTGTCCTCCACTTATTTGGAAGCCTCCCTCTTCCTGCTTAACCCTGTAAACATGAATAGCTGTTTATCTCAAAAAATCTCATCTCTTGCCCCAACATGATCCAGAGCAGCTTCTTCCTGGGCCTTGACTCTTAATGTGATGCTCAGGGGCAGCCTTTGTCTCTCTCTTCTTCAGTGGCTTAATTACCTTATTACTCAAAATACCTGATGTTTACTTCCCTGAACTCACTTCATCTAGAAAGGAAAGCAGATGTGCTGAGCTGATCCAGAGTAGTACAGTGTGACTAATTGAATGATATATTTTGATTAGTATCTCAAAACTCTGAGTATTAGATACTGGAGCGGATGAAGTAAATGGGAAATGGGAAATGTGATTGTTTATTTGTGAAGAATGTTTCCTATTTCAGATCTTAGTCTCAGTTGGGGACTGCTGAAGGGAAAGGCGACTGGAATGTTATCTGGGAATATTGTTTCTTCTGAGATTCTGGATAACAAAGGATTGGATGGAGGGCTTGAGTCATAGAGGGGATACTTAGATGTTTATGGCTCATGTTATGTAAAATGTTTTTTCTGTTTCCGGGACTCAGCAAGTTGTTTTACTCAGAATTGCTTTCCTACAACTCAGTATACACTGGTTCTGTGTGCTTTAGCGTATAACGTCTTCCCTCTTCCTTAAGATGCTGAAGTCTGTTTGGGAGTCTCTGGGCTATAGATATCTTGATATTTTTCAAATTAGTTTCTAGATCCTGCCATGCCTTTGTTTCATTTTGGACTTTTAACTGGTTCTCCACCTGAGAACTACGGACTTGGGAACTGTTGATGTTACCCTAGCTCCAGAGGCACTCCGTGGAATACAATGTGGCTGACCACCAAAGAAGGAGACTGTAATAAGTGGGTGATTATCAGATGAAGACGTGCTATTGAAAACAGGTGTAGCTTTTCCATCTCCACAGTCTGCCAAATGGCTTGAAGGAATATCTGCCTATTCTCTGGGGTGCAGAGATTAGATCCATAGAAAAAGGGACCGGGGAAAAAGCCTCTTGACAAAAACCCACTACAGACACAACTTTTTACGTTCATTTTCTCCTCAGTGTTATGCTTCCTTTTGGGGCATGTGTTAAAAAACAGAAACAAAAAACCTTTGGGATGAATTTGGTGGTTGCTTGGTTGGGATACTATTTCATCAGCTTAGGTTCAGTATTTTCCTTGCAGGTCAGAGTGGGTGTATTACAATTTAGCTCAGCTCCTCAGCTGGAATTCTCCTTGGATTCATTTTCCACCCAAGAGGAAGTAAAAGAAAAAATCAAGAAAATAATTTTCAAGTAAGTATGATTCAATAACTTCAGGTTTTTGATGATGACATCTTCTAAGATGACTCCTTTTAGAGGATTCTGCCCCTTCCCTCACCTTATCCTGGCATGTTGTAGCTTTATAAAGCTGTAGCTCTGGGGACTAAGATGGTTGGGTGCTGCCATTACATACATATATACACATAGGTATGTGTACTTATGTGTATACTATATATATATGTGTGTGTATGTGTGTGTGTATACACACATACACATGTACACACATAAATACATACACACATATATCATGTGCAGCTAAATGGTGCCATAGTGCACAGTGCTGGATCTAGAGTCAGGGAGACCCAAGTTCAAATCTGACAAGTCACTTATCTTCTGTTTATCTCAGTTCCCTCAGCTATAAAATAGGGATAACAGCACCTGCAAGGTGTTGTGAGGATCAAATGAGGTAAGATTTGTTTAAAAAAAATGCACAGTATCTGGCACATAGTAGCTGCTTCTCCCTTTCCTTCCCCATCTCATCTCCCTCGGATTGGAAAAGGACAAATGTCCCAATTTTAAGAAAGAAAAAAAAAAGGAAGAGGATGGCATCTGTATACTATAGGCCACTGAGCTTCACTTCAGTTCCTGGAAGAATTTCAGAATGAGAAGGATGATTAGGGAATGTCTAAAAAAGGCAGCAGTGATCAGAAAGCTAGGACTAACCTTATTTCCTTCATTTACAGTTACTAGGCTGGTACTTCAGTGGAACACTATGGATAAGATTAGCCTAAAGCATTTGATGAAATCTCTCTTGCTATTTTTGTGTCACTGAATCACTGAAACTTAGAGTTGGAACAGACCTCAGCATATGATGGAGGACCTTAACAAACCTTCATATATGATTGGCCAGAGTCTCTTCCCTTCCCTCATCATAGCCCTTATTAGATTAAGCTTATGGCTGATAACCAGAGAACTGGGAAGTTTTATCTTAATTTTTTAATTTAAAAAAAAATTTTTTTTTGGCTAGGCAATGGGGTTAAGTGACTTGCCCAGGGTCAGACAGCTAGTAAGTGTTATGTGTCTGAGGCTGGATTTGAACTCAGGTCCTCCTGAATCCAGGGCCAGTGCTCTATCCACTGCGCCACCTAGTTGCCCCAACTGGGAAGTTTTATCTTGAGCCTCACCAAGGATCAAAGATTTTTAGAGTGGGGAAGTGCTTTAGAAATAATCTAGTCTAGCTTCATTTTACATATGAGGATATTGAGGTCTAAAAACGGCGAGTGACTTGTCCAGAGTCATACAGGCAGTTGGTAGCCAAGCTGAGACGAGAAGCCAGCTTTCCTAATTCCCAGGCCAGGGCTCTTTCCACTGCTAGGCAATCCCACTTGAAAAGAATTGAGATTAGCCTCTTACTAACCATTTTCTGGAATAACTAAAGTTTTTGTTGTTGGGGTGTACGTGTGATTTTATTGATTGAGGGAACTCCAGAGAAAACTACTCCTTCTACCAATGCAGATTGACTTCTACTTTGTGATTTATAGTCTCAGAGAGTTGCCTGGGGTAATGGAAAGTTAAATCATCAAAGGTGGAACTTGAACTCAGGTCTTTTTAGACTCTGAAGCCAGCTCCCATTCTACTATACCACCATTGGTATCAAACTCAAATAGAAATCTATCCCTGCCCAGCCACATACTCACTTAGAAAACTACAAATAACATTATCTACGTTGTATTTTTATTTATTTTGTTAAACATTTCCCAACTCAGAAATTTTGGAGGCAGCCAGCATAGCTGACAGTTCTGCACTATCTCATGTTGTTGAATTGTTTCAGTCCTGTCCAACTCTCCATGACCCCATTTGGGGTTTTGTTGGCAGAGATACTAGAGTGGCTTGCCATTTCCTTCTCCAGCTCATTTTACAGATGAGGAACTGAAGCAAACAGGATTAAGTCCAGGGTCCCATAGCTAGTAAGTATCTGAGGTCAGATTTTAACTCGGGTCCACCTGATTCCTGGGCAGTGTCAGGCCTGGAGTCAAGAAGACTCATCTTCCTGAGTTCAAATCTGACCTCAGACACTTATTAGCTATGTGACCCTGGGCAAGTCACTTACTCCTATTTGCCTCAGTAAAATCTGTAAAATGAGCTGAAAAAGGCAATGGCAAACCACTTTAGTATCTCTGCCAAGAAAATCCCAAATGGGGTCACGAAGAGTCAGACATGACTAAATAACAACCTTTGGCACTCTATCCACTGGGCCACCTAGCTGTCCACACTACCCCCATACTGCCTTTCAACTAAAGGTGGCAAAGTGCTTTTTAAAAACATTTTAAAAAATAAAAATGTTAAGATTGTGCTAATTCAGAGCCACTAGTGGTGGTGGAGACCCTTTTCTGTAAAAAGCAGTGATATTTAAAAGATGTTCAAACAAGGCTGTGGTCTGTATCCTCTATTGGAGGTAAGTGGTGGGGCCAGAACAGATTTTATATATTCACTATCTCATTTTGTATAGTCTACAAAGGTTATTGAAGGTAACAGTGACTTATTTTTGACCACTGTTGAGGTCCTGGGGGACACTGAAAATGAGGTTGTGCCAAAAGTCTGGAGCTTAACATCAGGATGAAATGTTATGAATCAGGATGAAAAAAATGTGGACAAAACGATGACCTCTGCACTGGTTATTTATCCCTCTTAGAGATGAAAGGTTTAAATGTTGGACTGGATCAAATAATTGGGCGGGATTGGGGGACAGAAAATACTAGTTTATCTTTCTTCCAGGGAAAAAGAAATCTTGGGGTCTAGAGATAACCCTGGCACTGTAAGTCCCTTTGATATAAAACGGGCTTTTAAATGGTGGTCTCAGCAATGCCCATTCAAGGCCAGGAAGGACCTTGTAAGCAGTTGTACCCTGCAGAGAGTAGTCTCCAAAAGCCAATGAGGTCAGTGTTTCCATGTAGGAATATGAATTAATAAAAAGATATGTAACTTTTAATCTTCTATAGTTACAATTAAACTAATAATAACTGATATTTATATCGTTCTTCATAGTTTGCAGATATTTAAGTTGGTTCATATGAGCCTCCAAAGAATGCTTTGAAGGATTACAAGTACTGTTTTCAGTATGGATTAGCCTCAGAAAGGACTTGGCCACCTGAGCATAGCTAGTAAATGTTGGAGGTGGGATTCATGCCAAGCTTTTCTCAGTGCCTGGTCCGTCACTTTGCCGGCTACTATGCCATGCCTGCTGAGAATCGGCGAGTGCCTATATTCAGGACCTCAGGAGAGGCAGCTTCTCTTCTAAGCCCTAGAAGATTAGCCTTTGAAAGGGTGATATCCTAGAACAGGGGTTCTTAACCTTTTGGGTATCAATCTAAGAGAGTCCATCTCAGAGTAAAGTATTGAAGGCATTAAATAAAATGTATAGGGTTAGAAACCAAATCAATTGTATCAAAATAGTTACCAAAATATACATTTTTTTAAACTTTCATAGACTTCCAGGTTAAGAATCCCCATCCTAAGGGGTTATCATGACATTAGTTTTAAAAAAAAAAAAAGATGTAAGGATGCATTACAATCAGATTCTATAAAAACAATAATCAAAGTGTGTCTTTAATTTTAAATAAATTCAGTCCCTTAAAAAGAAAATAAATACTTCAACTATGGTCCTGTCTCTGCAACTCCCCTTATCCCCATCCTTACCCCCTCTCCCCCAGGGCCTCCAGAATCTAAAGTCAGAAACCCCATCACAAACTAAGCAGAGCCCATACTAGACAATGCTTGCCAAAACTTCTTGATTCACTTTGGTTGGTGGGGAACAACATAATAAAGGCATTAGAGAGTGATGAACTTGGAGTGGGTTCAAATCCTCCCTCTGCCATTTGCTGTGTTACCATGAGAAAGTAACTGAACCTTGGTTTCCTAATCTGCAAAATGGAAGCAATAATGCTCATATCAACTACCTCATAGTATTGTTATGAGGCTCAGAAGAGATCACGTGTGTTGAGCTCCTTGGAAACTTTAAGGCAATATGTATGTGTCAGTTATGATAACTACTTTGCTATGCAAAGACCATCCAAGTAGTAGAAGAACTGTACTGTTATAGCATAATCACCAGAAGTGACTGCACAACCAGTTTAATAACCCAGATCACAAAAACTGACTTTTCTACCACATTTTAAGGGTTGGGAATTACTTTATATATGGTATCTTATTTGATCCTCATAACAACCTTTGAGTTAAATGCTGTTGTTATTATTATAATACTCATTTTTCAGATGAAGAAATCGAGTCTGAGAGTAGTTAAATGACTTTCTGAAGGTCACACAGTAATTGTCTGAGGTGGTATTCAAATCCAGGTTTTCCTGATTTGAAGTCTAACACTCAATCCCCTGTGTCAGAGGTGTTAGACATGGCCCACAACACTCCTGAGAGCTGCCCGAACCAGATGAAAATATAGCTCCTATCTAATTTTAATGTATTGAATGATATCTATATAGACACAATCTATATAGACGCAATACATATATACATACATGCGTGTGTATATGTGGTTTTCTAACATAATACGCAGCTGCAGGGATCCAGCTGGTTTAGTGACCTCAGTTTCTTTTTGAGTTTGACCCCTCTGCCTGTATTACCTCATATGTGTTTTAAAGCCTTTATTGTCTACGTGGAGCCAGCAACAAGCCCCTCATTGTTTACTGTTGTCACTGGTGGGTGACATGATCAGTGTTCTGGGGTGAGGCCAGGAAAGCCTTGAGCTTTAGCCAAAAACAGAGCTGGACTCCATAGGCAGAGAATCAGGGGCAGACATCCAGGCAGCTGAGCTCCAGGGTTTGGCGAGTCAGCAGGAAGTCCAGCAAGTTGTAATTAGTCAAAGAGATTTGGTTCCCCATGATGAAGGCTTTGCCTCTCTGGTTCTGGGTCAGTAGGGTTCCAAAAGTCTTCAGCTGGCTGGGAATACCTTGCCATAATGCTCCTTCCCCTCTTCATAATTCAAGAAAAGGGGAGCAGTCCTCCATCTATCCCATCATTTGCCACAGTAGATTCTCAAGTGTCCTTCCTGTGCAGCCTGAGATTTATGGCCCAGGTATCTTGTGATGGCATTGCTCTGGTACAAGGTGAAGTCTTCATCTGCAAACTTGGGGAGCTGCTTTTGAGGATCCTCTGTATCCAGATCTCTTTGGTTCCTCTACCCTTCCAGGTTTGTCCCTGGTCAATCAGCAGTATCCATATGGCTTCATATCACCTCTGGATGGGGAAGTAGGTAATGGTGTAGGGAAATGTGCTGGATAATGGAGCACAAGCGGGAAAGCCTGCCTCCTCCATTTGGATCAAAAGGATTGGGAAGTCTACTTACTTGACTGTCAGATCCCTGAAATTGTGCCCTAGCCACAAGAGTGCAGATATGGAGAAGGAGGCTAGAATGCACAGGGGAGATCAGATAAAAGACATCCTTTGGCAGGTGTTCAAACAAAAGAGAATTTCTTCAAAAGCCCAATTGCAATGGAAAATGAGTTATGAAAAATAAGAGAACAAAGAGATAGATAGTGAGTATTTTTTATTTTTAGCTACAGTGATTGAGACTGTGGGATGGGAAGTCATGGGCAAGCAAACAAGGAGATGAATTCTTTCAGTGGAGTAAGCAAGCCTTGACTAGCTCCTAAAACAATGGATTGGGATTAACTACTTTGATTGAGGTTACTGGGAAATCCAGTCATGGCCAGGACATGTGTACCATTTAACAGCTGATACTCCAAGTTGAAATCTTAGTACAACTGGTCATTTGGCATGCTACTAAAAAGTATATCTGTGACTCCCAGGTTCTAACCTTGTAAGACTGCATTCCATTGATCTGCTTTCCATGTACAATCAGCCTGGAGACAATTATCTTTTAGAAAATGCCTTTTTTACTAAGATGGCAAGATAAAAATAGTAGCTACAATACATTTCCCATATAAACCTGGGCCATAGTCTCCCACAAATACATGCAGTGTCCGGGTTAGAGTTGACTCAAACTCATAGTACATTGGTAGTTAGAATACAGCCCCTAGCTCAGTAGCAGCCGAAAAGATTTGTAAGCTATTGAAACAGCTGATATAAAATCTGCACTAAACACAAGTATTTTCTTCTGAGAACCTCACCAAAAGCTTTATTAATTCAGTTTTTAAAAAATGTGTTCATGTGGTTTCCTAGCCCAGAACAGATGAGAAGCATCAAACTTGGGGAGGGGAGGTACACACTAGCTGGGGTAGGGAGCAGGGATTGAGGTGTCAGGGACAAGTGGAGTGTTAGTAGGAGAAGTGATAGCTGATAGCTTGACAATTGTGAGAGAGAGAAAAATACTAAAAAGGCAGTAGTAGGCAATACATCCCTCCAGAGGACTATATTACTGCACATTTTTCAAAGTGATAGCAACATCATTATGGAAAAGTTAAAATTTGTTCAGTATATTCTGTTTAGTAAGTCAGAGAAGCTTATGATGCACTTGAGGGAGATTTACATCTAAAATGATTTAAAATTTTATGTAGTCAATAAACATTTATTAAATATCTATTATGTGTCAGGCACTGTGCTAAGCACTGGGAATGCAAATATAAAAAAGACAGTTCCTGTCCTCAAGCAGCTTACAATCTTTTTTGAGTTGTAAATTTTCTTCCTCCTTCTTGTCTCCCTATTGAGAAGGCAAGCAATTTGATATAGGTTATATATGTGCAGTCATACAAAACTTATTTCTGTGTTAGGTTGTGAAAGAAATCACAGACAAAAGAAAAACCAGTAAGAAAAATAAAGAAAAAGTATGCTTCAATCTGCAATTCGACTCTATCAGCTCTTTCTCTGGAGTTGGATAGAATAAAATGATTAAATTTTTTTAATTTAGCATTTGAGAGGAAGAAGCTTTAATTACCTGGAAAATTCACATATATGGAAAAGATAATTCCCCCAAAATACCACAACGGAGCTTGGTTCTAATCCCGCCGCTGATGCTGTCTGTTTGACCTTGGGCAAGTCACCTAGCCTCAGTTTCCTCACCTGTAAAATGAAGGGGTTGGGATAAATGTCCTGTAAGGGACCTTCTAGTCCTAGATCTACAATCTTAAGGCATGCTTATAAATTCATAGTTTGTTAGAGCTGGAAGGAACTGTGGGAAATAATTCATTTGAACCCCTCAATCAGCATTAATCAGTTTGATATGATTTAATAGGGGTAATGATTATAAGTTCTGTGTATTAGGCCTCAGATTTGTGAGCTGCAGATTGGAAGTTCACTTGCTTAATCATAGGAAGCTAATCAGAGGCCCTCCTCCCTTGTTTTTCATTGTCATGGTGACCAAGCCCAATGTGGCGGAGGTGACTCAATTACATGGAGAGTCCTGCAACTTATTTTTGTACCTTTGGACCTCTCTCTCTTGTGCAACATAAGCAAGTGACCATCTTATGACTATTTAGTCAGCGGAGCTGCCCCATGCTTCGCCCAATCCAAGATCCCCCTGCTGACATACCATTTCTAGCTGATGTATCATTTTTTGGCCTTCGAGATCAACCAATGGGATTCTGTACTTTGTATAACCTCTTTAGAATGTTCAGGTATCAAACCTGGTATCACGCTTATAAAAATAAGGCCCTAGAAGAAGGGGGCATCAGATTGTGAGGAAGGTCTGAGGTCTACTTTGTTAGATTAGATTCATTAATGAAGTGCCATTGATTCAGAGCTCTACCTCAGTCAGTCTCTTTTACTGTAGATTGGACAATTTTAATCCCCACAGAACCTTAGATTTCAGTCCCATCCCATTTCACATTTCAGGAAACTGAGGCCCAGAGAGGGTAAGTGATATCTCCAAAGTCTCACACTTCATGGTAGAGCTGGAACCTGTTGCTATCTTGGGACTTTTCCTACCCCACTGTTCAGACTGTGGTGTTATTTCATGGGGACGAGTATCATTCCAAGTCTGTAGCTAGGAGGCATATGAATAATGGGAGATACCACAAATTTTAAATCCTGATCCTTGCTTCTTGTCCTTAGCTTGTCAACTTTGCTTTCTTTCCATTTTTTCCCTTGTGCTTTCAGAGGAGGGAGCACTGAAACAGGCCTTGCTCTGAAATACCTTCTCCACAAAGGTTTCCCTGGGGGAAGGAACTCTTCTGTCCCTCAGACCCTTGTCATTGTCACTGATGGGAAGTCCCAAGGAGACATTGCCCTTCCTGCCAAGCAGCTGAAGGAAAAGGGAGTTGTGGTGTTTGCTGTGGGAGTCAAGTTCCCAAGGTAAGAAACTCTCGGGAAGAAGCAGCTTGTCATAGCAGCAGCAGTAGAGGGAGAAAACTGACTGGTGTGTGGAGCCTTAGGCTTGTGAAATCTCAAGTGTCTCCCCGTATTCATTGGCCAGTACTGGCACCAATTGATAGTCACCCGCCTTGGCATTTTTCTACCTATAAGTCCCTAGTAACACAGCTAGTAGTATATATATTCCTCGTATTATTAGTTATTTTTTTCTGTGTGTGGCTTGTCTCTCCAACTAGACTGTAATAACAAGTCACATTTACGCAGCACTTTGTTACAGAATGCTTTCACTTCAAGTATTTTCATTTGGTTATAACAACTGTCTTGTGAGGTGGCTAGAACAAATACCGTCTCAATTTTATGGATGAGGAAAATGAGGCTCAGAGATAATACATTTCTTGCCTCAGGTCACACTCCTAATTGATAGAGTTAGAATTCAATTCATTCATTCAGTGAACATTTATTAAGGGCTTACTATATGCCAGGCACTGTGCTAAGTGCCAAGGATACAAAAAGAGGCAAAAGACAGTCCCTTCTTTAAAGGAGTTTATAATCTAATGAGGAGGACAACATGCAAACAAATAAATACAAAGCAAACTGTTTACAGGATAAATATGAAATAATTAATGGTAGGAAGGCACTGGAATGAAGAAAGGTTAGGGAAGGTTCCCTCAGAAGGTGGGATTTTAGTTGGGACTTAAAGAAAGCCACAGAGGTCCAACCAAGACTTTCAGTCTCCCAAGATCCAGTGTTCTTTCCATGGTAACATTACAATTTTTTTTTCATAAGCTCTCAGAGAACTAGTCAGTTCCCTGAATTTAACAGGTACTCAGTGAATAATTGATGGTGATGAATTAATTACTAGTTCATAGATACAGACATGGAGGGGAACTTAGAGGTCAGTGGGTCCAACCCTCTCACTTACAGATGAGGAAATTTAGTCCCGAGAAGTTAAATGACTTTTCTATGGGTCACACAGCTAATAAGTGTCCAAGGGCAAGTTTGACTCCAGAAGCAGTACGATATTTTCTATACCACTCTGCCTGTCATTAGTTGAGTGGAAATGACTATCAATACCAATTTTAGCTCTTCTGGGAGATATCTGGTAGCCATTGTTCAGGAGGAGAATCTATGTGGTCTGAATGTCTTGACCTCTCCGTCCAAAGGCACAAGATTCTCAATAAGATAACTCACACTCACCTATACTCTCAAAATGGGAATAATAAGACTATCTCTCATTTGGTGGTGCAGGCCCCCATCTGCTCTTGTGACCACAGGGAGAGGAGCTGTTTTAATTTCTCTCTGTTGGGCAGGTGGACAGAGCTGCACACCTTGGCAAGCGAACCCAAGGATCAATATATGTTGTCTGCAGAACATGTGGATGATGCTACCAATGGCCTGTACAGCACTCTCTCCAGTTTGGCCATCTGCAATGCCACAGCTCCAGGTAAAGCTCTTCCTGCTTGCTGGTACAGCCTCAGGCTTCAGAGAGCAGAGGTGGTCCTCAAAGAGAAAGGGTTGGGAGTTCCAAGGACCATGTTGTGAGGGGAAAGGATGAGAAGATGACAGCTTGTCCGTAAGATGCTCTTTCATTTTGCTTTCTGTTCCTGCGACCCTATGCTTAGTCCATGAGTATCCTTGTCTCATGTGTTTATCTAACCTGAAGATGGACAGGGCTTAGGGTCTGAAGTCTTAGCTAATGGTAGCATTACTTTGAAGGGCTCATCTTTGGGCCCAATAACTTTAGTGCCAGACCTGGGACTTCCTTTACCTGTGAGTAGGTAGTACTTGCCTCCCTGTTTTTTTGAGGAAACAGATTTGGAGAGGTAGAAATTGTTACCCCCTTATACTTTCATGTGTCTTTCTTGCTCCCCAAACCAATTTTCTTAGCTCCTGTTTCTCAGCTGGATTATTATGGCAGATTTGATGTGGCATAGGTTTTCTTACTCCCCTTTGCTAATTTTCAACCATGGGGCAGGAGAATGGAAACAGTGCTGACTATGAGAAAAGAAGGGCTTCTGTGCATGTGTGTATGCATATATTATGTATATATTTACATACATGTACACAAATGTGTATATATCTATGTATCTATCTATCTGACATGGTTGATGGATGGGGTAGATTGGAGGATGATTGGATTGGAAAAAGTAGTGGGATGCCCCCTGATATATCTTAGCAAGTTCATAAACATATTTCAGACTGAGAAAAGTTGAGAAGCTCCATGTAGGACACTTAGGCTATTGGGTCTCCTGCCCTCCCCTTCTGCCATAATCATTTCCTCTCGCTTGACTTTCCTTAGGACCCCTTTCCCCAAAGTGTAAGCAACTGGTTGGTAAAGATGAGTGGAACTTATATATTGTAGTTAGCATCAACAATGAGGGGAAAGTAGGGTGAAATCCTGGTTGTCTGTTTTGGGGGTGTTTACCCCAGGTTGCAGAATTGAGCCTCACCTTTGTGAACGAAAGACACTGGAAACCATCAGAGAAGTCACTGGAAACTCTTTGTGCTGGAGAGGTTCAAAGAAAAACAATGCAGTATTTTCATCCCTCTGCCCATTCTCTAGGTGAGTCTACTATTTTCTTTGGGTCCAACAGCCAAAACCAGGAGTGCGGGGTTCCCCTAATTAAATTCTGAAAGAAGCAATGCACTTGGGGTGCAATGGCAGAGGGAATTGTGGAGTGTTGCTCTCCATAAAAATACATCAGTAGAGTGTTCAGCAGAAGGGAGCAGAACATGGCCCAGGGAATGGGGCCAGATGGGAAAGAGCCAACCACAGGTCTCTGTTGATTTAGGAAAATGTTTAGCAGGCTGAAATGTCTCAGTAATTTACTACTGTGTGAGGCCTTTAAGTAAAACTAGTTGGGGCTAGTTGATCTAGAAGGCTGGAGACCTGAGCAATAAACATTCATTATATAATAGCTGCCATCTGTATCACCCTTATAACACCCTTCATAAACGTGATCTCATTCGATCCTCACAACAACCCCAGGAGGAAGGTTGCTGTTATCCCAGATTTCCAGATGAGGGGAATGAGGCCCAGGGTTACAGAATAAATTTCTGAGGCAGGCTATGATCCCAGGTTCTCCTGACTCCAAGTCCAGGGTTCTTAAGCTAGTAACTTGTGTGGCACCAGGTAAGTCACCCATCCTTGAGTGTGATATCAGATGAAACTTGAACCGAAGCAGGAAAAGGCCCCAAACACTTGAGGTTCCTCTGAAGTAAGATGTGGTATAAGGGGTTTTTGGAAGGGGAGGTGGGAGTATTGGTTACTAGAGCATGGTATTACTGAAGCTCAGCTTGATTCTTATATAATAAGGATAATATATAACATTTATATTGTGTTTACTATGTGCTAGGCATTGTTCTTAGCACTTTAAAATGATCACAGTTGATCCTCACAACAGGAAACTGAGACAGACAGATGTTAAATGACTGTCCGGGGTCATACAGCTAAAAGTATCTGAGGCTATATTTGAACTCGGGTCTTCCTGACTCCAGGCCTAGCACTCTATTCATTGTACCATCTAGGTGCCTTGCATAGAAACATGAGCACTGAATTGGCAAGCATAAAATCTGACTGTAGGTCCTACTGCTTCTGATACTGAGAGTTTCAAATCCTGACTGATACTTCCTTGTGACTTTGGATAAGTCATTTAACCTCTCCTCTCTGGGGCCTACTTTTCCCATCTATCACAGCAGGGGTTGCCTCGGCGGTCCCTCTCTTCTCCCAGTATGTGAGCCTGTGATCTCTACGATCCCTTCCAGTTTGCAAGGTCCATGGGTCTTTGACCACAGGTGCACCTCTGACCCCAGGTGTCCCTTGTGACACAGTCACAAGAGGGAATAGCTAAACGCCACGTGCAGCCATCTTGATACTGGAAAAACAACTCGTCATTCTGCTTTTCTGATAGAGGGTCAGGAGTGACCTCCCTAAATATGGAGAACAGTGCTATTGGAGGAAATAGAGATATTCTTACTAGGTCCAGAGCCTCATTCAGCTGAAGAAATTCCATTCTTTCCATTTCAAAGACATGCATAGTTGCCTTTGCTTGGGCTTGTAATTTTATGAAACCTGTGGGACGCAGCCCTAAACAAGGGAGAGAAATCCTTAATGAGCTAGCAATTTGGCAGACATTTTAGCAGTTCCTTGGAGCCTTAATTGACTCGGCTTTTTTCTCCTGGGAGCACATTTGACACTAGTACAAACCTATTTCCAATTCTAAAAGGCTGACTTGGGATGAGCCAGGGAGCCCTCCTGCCATAGACCATCCCTTCACTCCATGATCAGCCACCCCCTGCTAGATTTATAACTGATGTTTTAGAAGCCAACTGCAGATCCAACAGGCGTGCTTATCAACCCTAAGGAAATAAGCAAGTTCTCCTAGATCAGAAGGAGTAGGGAGAGATTGCTTTATAGAATGTTAGCACTGGAAGGAATCTTCTATAAATGTATGTACCACATTGCCTCCATAAGAGATGATTTAATTCTTCAAAGATCTTTAATTTGGTAGGTTTGAATCCAAAACTCAGGTCCTCCCGTCTCCAGGGCCAGTTGCTCTATTCACAGCACCACTTAGCGGCCCCTCTTCTGCCTTGTCCTCGACCTTCACTGTGACGGTCAGCCTTTCCACCCCATCTCCACGTCTGTTCTGGTCCAACCTTCCTGTGCTGGTTTCATTTCCTCCTTTCACAGTCACTCTGGTTACCTGACGCAACCATCATCCTGGATTCCTTCGAATCCTCGACTTGTTATTGCTTACGCCTTGATAAACACCAACCTTGGGTCACTTCCTTTTTCATTCCAATTTATGGCCTACTGAACTTTGTTGGAGAAAGTCACACAGCTAGTTGACTGCAAATGTATGTTTGCATATATTGATCTCAGTTCAGTCCCCATTGTTGTACAGCAAGCTTTTTATTCTTTCCTGATTGGCTTTCTACCATACTCCCCACAGTCACTCTTCCAAATCTCTCCCCCACCTTCTCTCCTACCTGCTAGTGTACTGATGAAAATAAAAACCATCTGTAGCCTGCTTCTCTTTCCCCTTTCCCTGATCTTCAAAACCTCCTCGTTGCTGCCCCTCCTTCTGTTCCTATTTTTTTTTTGAGGAAGATCATAGAATCATAGATCTAAAGCTAAAGGAGACCACAGAGGTCATCAAGTAAAACCCCATTTATTTTACAGATGAGTAAACTGAGGCCCAGAGAGGTTAAGTGACTTGTTCAATGTCACACAGCTAGGATCTCAGGTGAGATTTGAATCCAGGTCTTCCAGACTCCAAGTCCAATGCTCTAGAGTTAGCCAAGGCTGACCCTTCTACTTATGCCCTTTATCCCATTTCCCCCCCCCCCCCGTCTCCTGCAGGGACTTGCTCTCTCAATCATTCCTTCCCACTCTTTTTCTGATTTTTAATTTTTTCTTTAACCACCAAATGCAATGGCATTTCCTTAGTCCTCGTTTCAGTTGACATTTCTGCAGCTTTTGACATCTTTGAACATCCTTTCTTTCCTTGGCTTGATCGTAGCCAAAAGACCAAGAAGTAATTTCTTCCTTTCTTCCCATCCCTCTTTTCCTCTCCTTTCCTTTCTTCCCTCTTTCCCTTCCTCCCTCCCTTCCTTCCTTTCTTCCTTCTTTCATCTATTCCTCCCTCCCTCCTTCCCTTCCCTCCTCCCTCCCTTCCTTCCTTCTTTCATCTATTCCTCCCTCCCTCCTTCCTCCCTCTCTTCCTTCCTTTCTTCCTTCTTTCATCCATTCCTCCCTCCCTCCTTCCCTTCCTTTCTCCCTCCCTTCCTTCCTTTCTTCCTTCTTTCATCTATTCCTCCCTTCCTCCCTCTTCCTTCCTTTCTTCTTTCTTTCATCTATTCCTCTCTCCCTCCTTCCCTTTCTTCCTTCCAGCTTAGAGGCACATCATATTGGTGCCAGACTTAGTTCAGAAACCCAGTTAGCTTAGCCCCATACCACTCAGAACTCCAAAACTCAAACTGTCCTCCAACTTCAGACTCCCCAGGAGCAGGGTGTGTGCCATTGTGCCCAGCTCCAAGAAGCAATTTTCCATTGGCTTCTGTGACACTGCTCTCTCTTATTCTACCTGTCTGACCTTTCCTTCTCAGTTTTCTTTACTGGATCATCATCCATCTCCCATCTACTGATTGTGGGTCTTCCACAAGCTTTGTCATGGACAACTCTGCTACTGTCTTCCTCTTTCCTTCTATCTCACTCTTTCCTCTCCCCATAGATTCAATTATGAACTCTATTTTGCTTCTCCTCAGTTGGATTCAATTATCATTTTTATCTTACTGGACCTTTCCACATAGATATCCCACATCTCAAACTCAGCATGTTCAAAACAGAACTCTTTATCTCCCCCTTCCTTTCCCCACTTCCAACCTTCCTCCTGACTTCCTTATTTCTCTGAGAGGTGCCACCATCCTCCCAGTAACTTAGGTTATTAGAGTAGCCTCAGAATTATCTTTGATTCTTCCCTCTTTTTCACATTCCTCATATCTAAACCAAATTTTGTCAGCTTTACCTCCAGCATCCTTACCACCTCTCCAAGACTCTTCACTTATGTAATGGTCACCATTCAGATCTTCACCAACCTTGTAATTGCCTCCTAATTGACCTGCCTACTTTGTCTCTCCCCTCTCCGATTCAAGCTTCACATAGCGGCTAAATAAATATTTCTAAAACTCAGATGGACTGTCCCATTTATTTGCTCAGAGGAACAGAGAGCCTTTCATGATCATTATTCCTCTTCATGTAATCTTTGTTTCAGGCAAACTATACTACTATCCTCCAAACTCACTATACCATCCCCCATCTCTAAGCCCCTTCCCAGGCTATTTCCTTGTCTGGGGTGCTCTCTCTTTATCTGTGGCCTTTCCCCATCCTCCCCATCTCACCATCCCCACCAGCCAAGCTGTTAATTCTCTCTCTATCCTCAGATTATCTTCGTTTACTTGAGTATATGTTACATCCCTTTCAGATGTGTTACAGATATTTTACATTTCCTAGACATATTGCATTTTTGTCTTTATATTCTTAGGGCCTAGCACAGTCACTGGCACATAGCAGGAACTTAATGATTGATGAATTGAATTGAATCAAGTCCTATACTTTTTCTTCTTTTTTAGCTGGAAGAAAGTTTTCATAACTCACCTGGCCACATGCTACAGAACGGTATGTCCAGGTATGATTTCTGTGTAGTTTTTTGTTTCTGTTTCCCAAGAACAAACTTGGGCCTTTTGGTAAAAGAGTTCTTGAAAACAGCTTAGGGCAGGCAGTGCTTGGATGTTGCAAATGTGTCTGTTTTCTCTCCAGGATCACCCAATTACCCAAGCCCCTGGTCCCAAGAGTTGATAGCCGAGTTCTTCAGAATGGATTCTGCTTTCACAGAGGTTATGGCTGCACATACAGTTATCCCTTCCACATTGTAGGGGTTAGGGACGCAAGCCCCCCATGATCTGGAAAATCTGGATAACAATTTTTGGCCCCCCTTTTGTACCAGAGGAGAAGTTTGAATTTTTTTTCTTTTATGAGGTATTCACAGTACCTTATTGTAAAATTTAGGTTAATTATTTGGTCATAGGCTCTGTGTTGTCTATTTGCCTTCACATGTTGTTTACAGTTTCTGCAAAATTCTCAAAAAGTTCCCATTTAATTTCTTATGCTGATCCAGGATATGTCAAAACCACAATGGGGAAAATCACAATGTGGAAGGGATAACTGTATAATACTTCATGTTTAAATAGACTTTGCTTGTCTTTGACACCATACCTCTAATTTGAAGGCCTTTTGGAATGGTTGAGAGGAATCATGGTAGGGAAGGAGCTGGCATCAAAGCCAGGGCTACCTGGGTTCAAGGCCCATCCCTGACACATTCTAGATGCATGACTGTGGACAAGTCATGTAAGCTCTAAGTGATTTAGGTATCCCTCTAACACTATAAATTGCAGAGAAGATGTTGCTATGCATTAGTAAAAGGCTTTCCTACATCAATAAAACATCAATGAAATCACAGGTCTAATTATCCCTTTGGAAAGACTGAATTTAAAAGTTGACACTTCCAACCTATATCTTGGGAGCAAAATTGTGGTAATATTGAATGTGACATTATATACCTTGTGTCATTGAACTCTATCCCTGTCAAAGTTCAAAACCAAATACTGACTTGTATCTCAGCAGCAAGGGAGAAAAATGATTTTCAGGATTCTTTCTGTGCCAATCTTGTCCAAAACTAACAACATTTTGTTTTAAGTGAAAAGAACTAGCTTCATTTAAAACCAGTAGTTCCTATAAACCAACAAAAAAAGTTTGAATTTCACAGCAGGCTCCAGGTTCAATCAACACTCTCTCCCATGATATAATTAAGATGTGTAGGGCCTTACTTATTCTGAGAAATTATTATTCAGCAACAGAACTGTAGATGGACCCGATTTGTTAATTAGCTGAAATTTCTATGATTAATTAGCTATTTGTTCTTCCTTGCTATAAACATTAGAGTCAGTCATCGACCTGAGAAAATATTTCCATTGAACAGATGGAGATCATAGGATCAAAAAGGCCATATGCAGATGAGTAAACTCAGCCTCAAGAGGTTACATAATTTGCCCACAATCACAAAGGTAGTAAGTGTCAGAGGTAGGTTTTGAACCCAGGCCCACTTATTTCAAAGACAGCACTTTTTCCACTTATACTACACAGTCTCACTGACTAATGTTGCTTAGAGTGCCTGCTTTTGATAGGTTCAGCAAAGCACTGGTGGTCCTGGCTTAAGAGGCTAGACTGGATTTTCAGCCCCATGCCATACCATCACTTTGTCTCGGACTAATTTGGTTTTTGGTTAATGCACATCTCGTTCTGCAAACTCTGCCTGATAGATCCTTGTGATTCCCAGCCCTGCCAGAATGGAGGCACATGTGTTCTGGAGGGATTAGACAAGTACCATTGTCTCTGTCCCATTGGATTTGGAGGGGAGGCCAACTGTGGTAAGTATTTGTTCTCTTAACCATCAGTCTCTGCTGATCTATAACAAATGTTTTGGAAGCAGCAACTTGCTGGAGAGCCATGCAAAATCCGACCAGACTACTCCCTTTAGTTTTGTTTAATTTTCTAGCCTCCTTGTAGGTGCCTTCTCTGAAATGCCTTGTGCTTCCCAATTCTTATGAATAAATCCATATCATGGAGCTATGATGGAAGGCAAGATGATCCCATTCACCTACACTGAGATATTTCAAAATGGAAATAATTGTTGCTGGTCACAAGTAACACATGCCTTTGGGCCCCTAGCTGCAGACTGCATCCGTGTCAACCTCTGAGTTCTGAGCCTGGGCTCACAACTGTGATGTCTTTCTCCTCCCTTCTGTAGAAGTAAGCTATGTGGTCGATATGCTTTCAGCCTTAAGGGTGTGTGTAGCTTGCAGGCCTACAACATGAAGCTATGTATAGTATAGGGAGAAGAGGGTCAGACTTGGAAGAAGTTGTGGTGAATTCGAGTGTTATCTCTACCAAAGCACCAAGAATTTGTTAAGTACCTACTGTGTGCCAGGTACTATGCTGAGTGCTGGGGATGTAAAGAGAGGCAAAAAAGAGTCCATGCCCTCATTCTAGTGGGGGAGACAAAATGCAAAGATGTACTTACATACCAGACCTATCAGGACAAAATGGAGATAATCTCAAACCAAGGGCACTAGCATTGAGGGGACTGGGAAAGGTTTCTTGCTGAAGGAGAGATTTTAATTTTTAATTTTTTTTTTTTGGCAATCTTTTTTTTTTTTTTTTTTTTTTGGTGAGTTAATTGGGGTGAAGTGACTTGCCCAGGGTCTGAAGGAGGGATTTTAGCCAGGACTTGAAAAAGACTTGAGAGAAGCCAGGAGGAAGAGGTGAGGAGGGAGATTATTCAAGGCAAGGGCCACAGCCCTGGAAGGCATGAATCAGCAGTTAGAGTATTGTGCGTGAGGAGCAGCAAGGAGGCTAATGTCACTGGATCATCGAGTATATGGAGGGGAGTAAATTGTGAGAAGACTGGAAGGATAGGAAGGGACCGGGTTATTCAGGACTTTAAAAGCCAAACAGGATTTTATTTGATCCTAGAGGTAGTATGGAACCACTGGGGTATAATGAAGGGGGCGTGACATGGTCAGTATCAGATCTGCACTTTAGGAAGCTTTTTTTGGCAGCTCAGTGGAGGATGAAATAGAGTGGGGAGAGACACGAGGTAGGGAGACCAACCAGCAGGCTGTTAGCTGTCTAACCTCCTTGGGTATAACCTTTTCAGGCCTCATTTTTTTTCTCATCTGTAAAATGGGGATGCCAATGCTTCCCTTGTCCACTGGTTTTGGATCCCTTCCACCTCCATGATCAAATATAAAGTCATCTGGCATTTATAAAGCTCTTTACAACCTAGTCCCTTTGTATTTTTAGTTTTCTTACACTTTACTCCCCTCCACACACACTGTGATCCAATCTTATTGGCCTGCTTTTTTCCTACTTTTTGTTCCTCAAATGTGACACTGTCTTCCATTTGTGTGCCATTGCCCCGGTGATTGATTGCTACTGATGATGATTCCTCTCCTTTCAGCACCAAAGTTGAGCCTGGAATGCAGTGTCAACCTCCTCTTCTTGCTGGATAGCTCGTCTGGTACAACCCTGGAGGGATTCCTTCAGGCCAAGGCCTTTCTAAAGAGGTTTGTCCAGGCTGTGGTGAACATGGACTCTCCAGTAGATGTGGCAGTGGCCCAGTACAGTCAGGAGGTGGAGATCCCAATCCAAATGGGACAATACCAGGATGTGCCCAGCCTCATGAAGAGTCTGGACAGAATGCGTTTCACTGGAGGAGCCACATTGACAGGCAGAGCTTTGGAGTATGTTGCTGATCATGGCTTCAGAGCTACACTTCCGTCTGGAGAGATTCATGATCCCCAGCCTCAACGGGTGGTGGTTCTGCTTACTGACTCAAGGTCCCAAGACCTTGTGGCAGGACCAGTAAGATATGCCCGTGATCAGAAACTCTTCCTGATTGGGGTAGGTAGTGAGTTTCTGAGAGCAGAGCTGGAAGAAATCACTGGCAATCCAAAGCAGGTGATAACCTACTCCAACCCACAAGACCTTTTTAATAAAATACCTGAACTCCAGAAAAAAATCTGCAGTCTCCAGAGACCAGGTAAGATGTTTACTTACCTGGTTTTTTGTTGGTATGGTAAACTGCCTCTCAAAAGGAATCTTGGTTCAAATAACCCAGAGCTCATTGAAAAATATACCCCTCCTGATTTTTATCCATATATATATATATATATATATATATATATATGCAGTCAGTCAACCAATACACATTTATTAAGCACCTACTATGTGCCAGGCACTATGCCAGATGCTGGTTATACAAATATAAGTTTAAAAAACAAATACAAGTTTAAAAAACAAAAAGAATTCCTGCTCTCAAGGAGCTTACAGTCTAACTGGGGAAGATGACACTAAAAAAAGGAAACTGAAAAGTGAGGAGGCAGTACCCAGTGCAGGAGTATGAGAGAAAAGTCCAAAAAAGTCAAAAGCAGTATAGCTGGTAAGAAAGGGCGAAAGACTGGGCTGAGCCCTTTTCTTAAATAGAGGCATTGGAGCCCATGGCCCTGCCCTTCAGTCAGAGAGGCAGAGAGTACCAGGCAGATTCAGTCTTGCAGGAAAGTGAGATTTCCCAATGATGAGTTAGTTTCCTGGGGAAAGAAGGATATTCAATATGTCACAAGGCCAGTATGCAGTTGGAAAGCAAAAAAATTGCTGAAGAGAACACTGATGTAAAGTAAATGGTGCTTTTACTACAAATATAGGTAACTTAGAGAAGCAATGTGGTATGTTAATATCATGGGTAGAGAGCTGCCTTAGAGACAGTAGGACCTGTATTCAAGTCCTGCCTTGGACAGATTATGTGACTCTGGGCCCTCTCAGTCAAGTCTCTACAAACACAAGCTGCAGTGTAGGTACCCGTCTGCTTCGGTGGTTGAGTTTCCTCTTTGGGAGTTCCCTATACCAAGGAAATCATAAGTTTAGTCCATAGGTCATCTAAAGCTGTGTTTCAGAACACAACAGGTATTATGTTGAAAGAAATTTATACTTAGTACAATGTGTTCATATCCTTTTTAAGGGATTATTCCCCTAGGAGGGCAAAGGTCTAAAAAGCAGTTGCTCTCATGCTGTACTGATCTGGGCACTGAATATCAGGTATAATATAGCCCTATCATGTAACATGGTTATTGCACAGATCAGATTGTTTCCCTCAAATGTAACCACCGTTTCTCTATCTGTTGTGTTACAATTAGCTTATAAGGCAGCAGGTCCTTTAGTCCTCTGATAGCATTAGAAAAGGGTTCTTCTCTACTTGATGGTGGTGTTAGTGGACTTAATTAAAATCATGGAATTTTAAGAACTGCAAACGACCTCTGATGTCAGCTGGTTCAGTGCTTCCCCCCACTGCATACTTGAGGTATGCATTCCCCACTCTCACATCCCTGGCAGGTGGTTGGCCATGCAGCCTTCATTTGCTGAATCTGTGATTCTCCCTGGAGGTCAGAGTGGCTTCCTAACTGGTTCTGATCAAGAAGGTACAGATGGGGAGATTGCCTACATTGATGAACTCTAACCGATTAGCAGCCACCCCTTAGCCAAAAGCTAAAAGCATGAAGCACAGGTGAGATTTCCAAGTCATCTCCAGCCATGGTTAGTCCTGTATGATAACACAGGTTGGGTTTTTCAGGTTGCAGTTTAGCAGGGGTTCTTAACCTTTCTTGTGTCATAAACCCCATTGGCAGTCTGGTGAAACTTATGGACCTCTTCTTAGACTTATGTTTTTAAATAGATAAAATAAATAGAATTACAGGGGAAACCAACAAAATATATTGAAGTATGGTTATCAACTTTTTTTTTTTTTTAAAGTTCACTGGTCCCGGGTAAAGAACTTCTGGGCTAAGATGCTGATTCATTAAAGACTTGGCATGTTTACATTTCTTTAGGCTGCCAGTCTCAGTCCCTGGACCTGGTTTTCCTGTTGGATGCATCAGCGACAGTAGGACAAGTGGACTTCACGAAGGTCCGGAGCTTTGTAAGAGGGAGCTCCCTCCAATTCAACATCAACCGGGATGTGACCCAGATAGGCTTGGTTGTCTATGGCAGCAGGGTCCAGACCACATTTGCCTTGGACACACACCCTACTAGCTCCAACCTCCTGCAGGCCATCAACCAGGCCCCTTATGTGGGTGGGGCAGGCTCCACAGGCAGTGCTCTCTTGCATGTCTATGATGAGGTGATGACTGTCCAGAAGGGGGCCCGGCCTGGTGTGAGTAAGGCGGTGGTCGTAATTACAGAAGGGACTGGAACTGAAGATGCAGTGGTGCCTGCTCAGAAGCTTCGAAGAAATGGCATCTCTGTCCTGGTCATAGGTGTGGGACCTGTCCTGAAGGAGACGCTACTAAGACTTGCAGGCTCTCATGACTTCCTAATACATGTGCCTTCTTATGAAGACCTAGAGAATTACCAAGACTTATTCATTGAAAGAATATGTGAAGGTGAGCTATGATTGCTTGTTAATGGTTTCACTGTTCTAGACCTTGGGTAGCCTGGGGGGAATTGTAGTTCTCTTGTCAGTGACCCTGCTTTTTTCCTGTCAAAAGGCAACATGGGTCATAGATTTGAAGGCATAAAGAATCTGAGAGATCAACAACACCCTCATTTTACAGATGAGGAAATTGAGACTCCAAAAGGTTAAATCACATAGTAAGTAGCATCACTGGGATTTGAGCATAGGCCATCTCACTCCAAATCTACAAAGGTTTTTTCTTTTTTAGATGGAGGTACAAAATATATTTCAAACAACTGAGGAGTAGTTACTAGGCATGATGTTAACAAGCATAGTGGGAAGAAAATAAGACCCAGGTTGTCCCCCTGGCTCTGCCACTTACCAGCTTTTTAAATTTGGTCAAGTAACATCTCTCTGGACCCTAACCCTCCTCATTTCTAAAATAAGAAGATAGACTAGATCAGAGGTTCTTAAACTTTGTTCAATCATGGACTCTTTTACTCTCCAGCAAAGTCAATTTACTCTTTCCTAGAATAATGTTTTTTAAATGTATGAAATAAAATATACATTATAAAGGTTAGTGAAAATAATACATATTTAAAGAGTTCACAGGTCCTAGGTTAAAAACCCCTGGGCTGGATAGATGGTCCTGAAATCTCTTCCAACTCCAAGATTCTAGGGGTGTTACATGCACAGAGTCTTCTTTAGTGTTGAGATGTGGCATTGTCTATTCTCATTGTCCCAGCCTGTCCCTAGCCTGATAGCACAGAGGGGAATATGGTGGCTGTCTTCTCCACTACCCTTATGATTTTCTGCTAGAACATTTGTTCAGTTTGCCTTAGACCTGCCTTAGTCAGTCTAAGTGAAGACCCATGGGCTTGACTGAGCCTTTTCTAGGTCAAGAATTTCTCTATTCCAGAAGCCAGGAAGCCAGTTAACCTCTGCAAACCCAGTCCATGCATGAATGATGGGACATGCATTCTTCAGAATGGAAGCTACCGGTGTGAGTGCAGAGGCTGGGAAGGCCCCCACTGTGAGAACAGTAAGTGATACAGCAGCTACTCAATTCCTTTGGATAGAAAAGAAATGGGGGCAGGGGAAGAGAGGAAAGACATGGCTTTCCTCAAGGTTGATTTTGCCCAGTTCTCCAAGGTTTTGGAGCTATTAGCTCCTTTAATATGAAAGCTGCTAAATAGTGTGTGATCCTGACTGTGGTTTCATATTTTTCTTTATGGTTGCTTGTAATATTTTCTCCTTGACATGGGAACCCTGGAATTTGGCTACAATATTTTTGAGTTTCCATTTTGGGATGTTTTTCAGGAGGTGATCAGTGGATTCTTTCAATTTCTATTTTATCCTCTGGATTTAACATTGGAACAGTTTCCTTTTATAATTTAATTTTTTTATAATTTCTTGAAGTATGCTGTCTAGGTTCTTTTTTTTTTATCATTGCTTTTAGATAGTCCAAATAATTCTTAAATTATCTCTCCTTGATCTGTTTTTTATGTCAGTTTTTTTATTAGATGTTTCACATTTTCTTCTATTTTTCTTTTGATTTTGTTTTATTGTTTCTTGATGTCTCATGGAGTCTTTAGCTTCCACATGCCCAATTCTAATTTTTAAGGAAATATTTTCTTCAGTGAAACTTCGTACATCTTTTCCCATTTAGCTAATTCTACTTTTTTAAGGAGTTCTTTAATTCAGTGAATTTTCTGTTTTGTAAGTTGTTATTTTCTTCAGTTTTTTTTTGGTCCTTTTGAACCAAGTTGTTAGGGTTCTGTCTCTCTCTCTCTCTTTTGGTGAGGCAATTGGGAATTAGGGTTAAGTAACTTGCTCAGGGTCACACAGCTAGTAAGTGTCAAATGTCTGAGGCCAGATTTGAATTTAGGTCCTCCTGACTCCAAGGCCAGAGCTCTATCCACTGTGCCACCTTGCTGCCCCTGTTAATTCTCTTTTCATAATTTTCTTGCATCACTTTCATTTCTTTTCCCAATTCTCTACTCCTCTTATCACTTTCTTTAACTCTTCCAGGAATTCTTATTGGGCTCGGATCCAGTTAGCATTTTTCTTTGAGGCTTTGTAGGGGTTTTCACATTGTTGTTTCCTTCAGTTTGTGTCTTGGTTTTCTCTGCCACCATAGGAGCTTTTTAGTTCACTACCCTGTGGGATCCCCTGCTGCCTTGGTTCCAGGTTGTTGTTCATCTTTCAAATTCCTCACAGTTATCAAGTCTTTCTCTTTTTCCTCTTCCCTATTTGCAGACTGAGATGAAGCCTGGAGGACAATGAAAACTTGAATCTATTCTGGGAGATTTCCCAATTAAAAGCCAAACTGGGTCATTTCAGTTGGACCTTCATATATGCATCAGTTGGCCAAGTTAGAGGCAGAGAACATATAGGTTAGGGTCTTTTCTCTGGTACTTTTTGGAATGATGGCCTGGAGAAGGCCTTGAGAGATTCTGATTACCATTTTAGGGAGAGAAGGGGACCAGGTATCTTTCAATTTACCAGGACAGATCTAAAGACAAAGTCTCCTTTATTTACTTCAATACTTTTGTCCCTTCCCCAGGAATCTTGAGAGGTGATTCCCCCAGGCCACATGGCTTGCATCAGTACTCCTCGAACTGGCAGCACTGGTACCAATCACGGCATTTGCACCTGGGCAGTTGAATCAGCATGGTACCTTGTGGCAATTCTGTGTGACCATCCACTTTCTGCCAACAGTGTGTATGACTACCCAAAAACCACCATGTTGCATGGTGAAAGTGGATCCCAACTCAGAGACAGTGCTACTTAGCAACAATGCTAGCAATAGATGAATTCATTAATTATTGTTTATCTTTTTAAAAAGCAATCAACACATCAAAATATAAGTCAATATTTATTTTCATCCAAATGTCAACTTCCAAACCACATTTAATCTTTTCTCCATGGATATGGAGCAGCACTGATGGGCCAACTTGTTGACTTCGTTTGGTGTAGAAGTCAGGAATACTTATTGGAATATTGACTGCACAGGGAACTGTCCAGCATGATGTTAGTTACATATTTCTCACATGGAATAATTGCAACACCTGAGTTTTAGGACTTTAAATTTTGGGAATTGTTCACATGCAGCATTATGTATCCATTTGGAAAACTGATTCAATTGATTCAAGTATGTGGACATAAGGTAAATAATCTGTAATATGTAGTTGTACTTACTGTATTCCTCAGTATGGATTTCACAGTGCCAAGTGAGACTTGCCAAATGGTAACTCTAAAGCCACTATAATGGAGATTTGCTGCTTGACATTTGGTGTTTTTTTGTTTTTTTTTTTAACATGGGGGAGAAACTTAGGGAGGATAGAGTAGCAGGTCCAGACCAGAGGGAGAATGGAACGCTGTTGGGTTTCAGTCAGCTGGAAATCTATGCAGTTAGGCTGTGTTCCCTCAGACAGATAGTACTTGTTAGTTTACTATAGGCCTGATTAATGTTATTACTGTTTAGACTTCTTGACAATCTTTCTTCTCTCCCCTTTTAGTTGTCATTTTTATTATTTTAGAGAGGAAGAGGAGCAGAGAAAGCCTTAAATTGAAAAAAAATTTTGTGAATATGACACATTTTGCTTTTTAAAAGAGATCAACTAGGTTTTAAAATAAAATATTAAGGAGAAAACCTAGTTGGCTGGTTCTTTAACAAGGCTTGGTCAAACAAAAAGTAGTTGGTTTGGAAAATGTTCAGTTTTCTAGAGAAGTTGGCTGGCCCCATGCTCTTATTTGGATTCTATCCAGTCCGCTTTCTTAGTGGAGACCTCTGCTCAGCAATTCTCCAAATTCAGACCCTCTATAAAAAGTGTACTTAAGGTTTTAAAATATGAATCTACTTTAAAAGCAATAATGAACCTAAAAAAAAAACCAAACCAGCTATGGCAAAGCCGCTGCCACATATACTAAAGGCATCAGTGATTTAGTTTGTGAATTGTCGCTGGATCATGTAACTCTCCAGAGATCCTTTTGTATAAATGCTTTTATTATCTATTTGAGGACTTGACTGTGTCCCTGCCATCTTTCCCATCTATGGCTCTTCTTTGTCTTATTGCTCTAGTTAAGCAGGCTGAAGGTTATTAGTGTAGAACTTGGTGTTGGAGTTTAAAAGAGAAACAGATCTGATATAGCATGTCACCTTCTATGAATGTGATATCTGGATATGTGTGTGTGTGTGTGTGTGTGTTGCTGAAAACATATATATTAAAGGCATATTTTCGTTTTCCTTTATGACTGTTACTGCACTATCGTGGAAAGAACACTGGCTTTGGAGTTAGGGGTCTTAGGTCTAATTCTGGCTCTGCTACGCCATCTCTGTGTGATATTGAACAAATCACTCACACTCTTTTGGCCTCAGTTTTTTCATCTACAAATTGAGCAGGTTAGATTAGATTAGGGGTTTCTTAATATTTTTCTCAAGTTCTATTTGTGTCATGGACCCCCTCTGGTTTCTAGTGAAGTTTATGGACTCCTCAGAATAATGTTTTTAAATCATTGAAGGAAATGCTAAATTTTAGTTAAGTTTGTAAAAAGGATAGGTGAAATTCTCTTCTATCTAAGTTCATGGACTCCACTCACAGATCCCTTGGAGGATCCATGGGCCCATCGAGACTTTAATAGATTAAGAAGGCCTAGACAATAAAATTACTTTCAGCTCTAAATCTTTGATCCTAGAGATTGTATTTGGCATATAACAATGGCATCACTACTAGAAAATCTCATTGCCAACAGAAGACTGATGTGAGAGACTGCTTGGGCTTCTAACACAGAGAATATGGTAATTATCAATGACAGGCTGTGGGCTGAGTTTATGTAATGTTTTATGAGGTTCAGTTTTTAAACATGTTTGCAAAAAGAAATGATAAACCTTTGCCTAAATTTCAAGTTACATGATTTTCTGTATGAGCTGCTTTGACCACAGCACCTCATAAAATAATTAGCTTTGGGCATGGAGGGATCACATTCTTCAATGTTGGAGAAAGCTGTTCACAAAGATAAAAATCATAGATTTAAAAAAAAATACCAGATAATGATTAGTGAAAAGCTAAAACAAATATATGTGAAGTGATCACGTATGTGAAATGACTGATGTCTATTTTTTTTTTTTTTGGCCTTTTTGGTGAGCAATTGGTGTTAAGTGACTTGCCCAGAGTCACACGGCTAGTAAGTGTCATATGTCTGAGGCCAGATTTGAACTCAGGTCCTCTTGACTCCAAGGCTGGAGCGCTATCCACTGCATCACCTGGCTGCCCCCTGTCTTTCTATTTTTTACAATTATTTATCCAAGGACGTTCAATGTGATGGAACTCACCCTGACCAATTGGTTAAGTTTCAGTTTATGGAGAATGTAATTATGAGGAGATTGTGGTTAGCAAGTTTTGTTTCTTGAAGAGAGAAAGGATACTCACCCAAAAAACCCTTTAAGACAGTAGATACTATTGTTGAATAGCTTAATCATAAAATTAGATGACTTTTTTATAGCTGGAATCTACTAGGATGTATACACAGCTCAGCTTAGAAGTAATTTGTTTCATTTGAAGGACAGTAATTATTGTTGAATATAATATAAATTTGATTTTGGGTATGAATCCCTGCTTAACCCAGATCACCCTATAAAACATGAGAAAAAAAACCCAAAATATACTTAATACTTTATTTTTTAAAAAATATCTAAAACATCAAGAACAAGTTTATGACAAAGGAAATAAATGCCCTGTGATTAGAAAGACAATGAGAATTACAAAGATGTTTGGTTTAGGGTGGAGGGAAGGAAGGTTGAGGTGAAGATGAAATGTCTGAAAACCTTTTCTTTTAAGCAACAACAAATATACACCATGTTTATTTTTCTATCAAAGAAAAAAGACAGGGCCACTAAATGGAATGTCATCATCTGTTAGTTGGGATCTGTTTGTTTTTTTAAGGTGGGGTGGGTAAAATAAGCGCCTAGCCCCATTCAACCAATTCCACAGTACTTTTCTTGGAGGGAACCTGGGCACTGCCTACCAAGCGAGGAAAAAGGATACTTAGATCCCCTCATTTGAGACAGTTAATCCACAGATTAGAACTAACCTGATAAAGAGAAAAGGAAATTTTTATCTGTCCACTGAACCTAGTTAATGAAATATCTTTCAACTATTCTGAGGCACTGTTTTAAGTCATGGGAATAAAAAGAACATTTTTAGATCTGTGGAGATACTTTTCATGACCAAAAATATGCATGTGAAACCACATCTCCTCAAAAATGGCTTTTGAATACAGGCTTTAAGGTGAGGATCTCACTGTTACTTATAAAAACCAGGAGAATGGTGTCCTCATGTTAAATAAACATTCTTTTGTCCTTTATACCAGTGAATGAGAGTCTTTTACTAATTAATAACTTACCTGAAGTAGAGCCCATAGTCTTTTTCTCCCCTCTGAAAGGGCAGCACTCTTTCACAAGTGGGTTTTTTTGTTTAAAGCAATCTAGGCTATTTCTACATGCATGGGATCATAAACCAAAAAGCCTGAAACTGAGAGTTTGAACTATCTATTTCATAACTGCTTTGGGTTTGAGTCACTAATCCTGGAGCCCAACTCCCTCAAAGCAGGCAAAATTGAACTCTAATTTTTGCCCAGTATTGAATAAAGATGATGATGATTTTAAGTCATCTTTGTTACTCAAGCCAAAATTCCAAATGGGAGGACCATTCAGGTACCTGAATTTTTTACACATTTCCTCTCCCTCCCCCCACCAAAAAACAAAAACAAAAACAAAATTTCTTGTTATGGAACTATGAACTAAATTTCAATAATGTAATTGATAAACTTGTATGTAGAAATACACAAACCATCCCTAAGAACAATAGCATTCCTGTTTAAAACAATGGGTTAGGAATACTATGAAAGTGTCTTTTGCTTTTGTGTTATTCCCTTGAGAGTGAAAAGGGATGTCCTTCCTCTCCCCCCCCACCATCTTGGGGAGGTGCAGGAGTCCTTAGCCAAAGACCACTGTTCACAGTTGTCTCAATCCTTTCTTTTCCTTCTGAACAGACTCCAAGCCCAGTGTTCTTTGCTTTTATATCAGACCTTAACTTGGGAGGATTGTCATCCAAGGTCCATAGCAATCATGTCAGTTTTTATTGGAAGATAGTTTTCTAACTTGCTCCTTTCTTCTCCCATTCCTGGAACACATAAACACCCCCACAAGCCCCCAAAAATAATTAATTTTTTTTTGTTGTAGAATTTTTGTTTCACAGGTCAAAGTGGTGCTTTAAAAGATCTTTAACTTTTCTCTGAAATAAAGCTGCATCTTTTTAACACCAATAATTCTGCCAGGGATAATTGAGAGATGTGGAATACCAAAGTCTCAAACTATTTAAATTTGTGGATCACCCAGAAGGGCAGTGGGAGAGATGAGTGTGAGCAGTCTATTGCAGGAAAAGCAGTGTCAAAGAGACCATCCAAAAAAATGTACGAACTTAAAAGGATGTGTGCTGGTTGAGTAGAGAGAAAAGGGATACCCAGCAGACAGCCTATGCCACAGATATTCATATTATGTCAAGAGATCTAAAGGAAGCCTCCCAGCATGTTGGATGGAAAATTTACAGGAGGACACATACAAAAGGCCCACAAAGAGAAGGCAGCAACAGGTCACAGTCTGTACTGTTGGTATAAGTATAAAGACACAGATGAAATCAAAGAAATGGAATTTTATGCATCAAAAATACTTGTACATTCCATTAAAACAACTGTATCCCTGGTTCTAGGTGAGGTCTAAGTTTGAAATAGATTGCCTTAACCCAGTACACTGGCATCAGAACTGCATTCTCACATTATGCCCATATCACCATTAGTACAATAGAAAAGGGTATGGTATTAGAAATTTGTTTCCTGGGCTTGTTACTGTACTAAATCTCCAGAACTGAGATAAAGCATATCAATTTAAATAGATAATGTTTCATGGATTCCCAAAAAGCCTCCTGCACCATTACAGAATAAAAATAAGGGCTAGATTTTGTTCTAGATTCCCTTATCCCAAAGAAGCACTGGGCAGCCCTAAGCAAACTGTATTTCTTTGCAAAGCAGAGGATGCATTAAAATTTCCTATCCATCCATTCTAGCCTGAAGGGAAAGCCAAGTAATATTACTCCAGGAGAAAAGCAGTTGGCAGTGAAAATTTAAATCTTGAAAGAGGCGTGATGAGGGTTTGGTTCCTGTGATCTGTTTAACCAATAAGCTCAGCAGGAGTTTTCAGATCTCTTCCCCTGCAGTTTACAGCTCTTCAAGTTGCTGCTGAATTCACCAGATGCTGGTTATAGAATTTATGTTCCTTTTGTCTTATAACAATTTAAGCCCTACCATGTAATGTAACAGCCTGGTACTCAAGCCAATGAGTATAGTAAATAAAAGGCAGTGAAGGGCCCTTTCAGGGTTGGTTCTTCCTAATAAGCAGGAGCACAGAATACCTGTGGACTTAGAACAGTGGACTCCACCTAGATAATGGTGCCCTGCTGTCCTGGTATTAATGGAGCTGCAGAGCCAGTCACCATCAGACGTCCTCCCTCTGGGTGAAGCCACAGGATTGGAGAAAGAAAAGCAAATGCCAGAGATGCACCATGAACAATGGATTACACCTACTTCAGCTAGACATTGACAACCCCAAATCCTGCTTACCATAGCTTTCCTTAAGACTGTTCCCTTGCCTGTTACCATGACGGAGAGAGGTCTGTTTTTTAAAGCTGTAGCAGAGTTGACCGGAGAAGAGTCTGCAGCAGGAGCTGGACTGGGGACTTTGGCCTGAAATGACAAAATGAAAGCCATGTCTGGGTTAAATGATGCTATGTGACTCTGCTGGCTCAGAACAGCAACAGCCTATAGGCTACGTACTTTGGGAGTTGTATTCTCCAAGTGGGTGGTATCCACTGCTGTGCCTAGGGTCACAGGCCCGGCCTCCGCCTTTCTCAGGCTTTCTTTCACTTCCATGATGCTCAGTTCCAGGTCCACACGTCTGTTTTCCTTTTCCCTGCACTCTTCCTCCAGCTCCTTTAACTTCTGCTCCAGACAGGCCAGGGCACACTTATCTGCAAAGAGAATGGAACTTGGGGTTATGTTTCCATCAGGAGAACTATACTGTACCTGGCTGGACAGGTAAGAAAAATGGGACCCTACTTGGAGAGCGAGCAGTTCAATTTCAACAAATGTGTTTTAAGTGCCTGCTGTGTGCTAGGCTACAGAGATACAAAGACAAAATGAAGTATCACTTTTCTTCCACTTACGCAAATGTCAAGTCTACCCCCAATTAGTTATCATAATGGAGGCTAAGGATGGTTTAAAGTGGCAAGGCTTGGGCTCAAATTCTTTACTATGTGACCTTGGGCAAGCTGCAATGGATAAAGCATGAAGCCTAGAGTCAGGAAGAGTTCAAATCCAGCCTCAGACACTTGCTAACTGGGCAAATCACTTAAATTCTGTTTGCTTAGGACAGTACCTGACACATACTAAACTCTATATAATGGTAGCTATTATTATTACTTATCTTCCTTGGGCCTCATTTGTAAAATGGGGGTAGTGGAAGAGTAGTCTAATTAGACGTGTCATACATAGGCTCTCAAAATCCCAGAGTACTTCTCCCTCCCATTTCTATTCAGTTTTGACACCACTGGACTAGATGACCTCTAAGTTATCTTTCAGCTCTAAATCTATAGAAATATTTTTAAAAAAATCAATCTGTGCTTTTGTTGATATAGGGAACATCTGATAGGGAAATTCCCTACCACAGCAGACCATTATTTTTGCTCCTTCATTTAAGAATCAGAAGGTTGCCTGAGACTTTAAGTGACTTATCCAGGGGTCCCAGAGCCAGTGTGGGTCAGAGACTTTTTCTCTATCTACAATGCTACAGAGAGATAGCTAATACTGATAAATGTTTAAAAACTGGTTCTCTATGGGGGGGAAAAGTATAGGCTGACAGGAGGCACTATTCGGTGGGAGTTTCAAAGCTCATTTATAAGATGGTGCTTTTCAGCTGAGATAGTTTGATGTGCTTAATATTATTATTCATATTATCTATTTACAAACCCCAGGGAAATAGTAGCAAGCCCTTATATAATTAAACTGTGAAGGTTACCTAGTAGAGAGAGGCAGGCCCAGCTATAGTGTTACCCTTGATTTGTCACTTCTGAAGAGGGAGGGGACAAGATTTACAAATGATTGAATTCCCCACCCCCAATGAGGTCAGAAATCCTTTAAAAAAATAAAAAAACTTGGCTCTGAAGCTCTTGTTCTGTGTATAGCAACCCCATGGCCCTCTCTGTTCTCTTCAGTGCCTTTCATCTTACGAAGGAAGGTTTGAATTCCAAGCTCTGGAGGCAGAAGGTCTGGGTTTCTCCCCAGAGAATCCAAGGTTCAGTGGGGACATGAACCACAGAAAATTTTATCTCCCTTCTGGGAGAAGAATCCCCAGTCCAGGAGTTCTTCAAGTTTTTTGTGTCATGGACTTCTTGCATAAGTTGGATGGATCCTATGTACCCCACCCCCCCTTAGAATGATATTTGTTGCCTACATTGACAACTGAAGAAAATGCTAAATATCAGTTAGAGATTAGTGAAAATAATGATGTAATTTTTTTTCCCATTCAAAGTTCATGAATCCCCTGAAAGTTACCTACATTAGGGATCTATGGACCCCAGAGTAAGAACTTCTGCTTTAGAGGAAGGGGCCATATATCCTTTAGTGATTAGAGGATAACTTTGCCTTCTAAGACTTTTCTCTCTCCAATGTTTATTAATTAATAATAACTTCAACACTACTGGGTGTATGCCCATGGAAGTTAAAGTCATAAAAATTCCACATATACTAAAATATTCAAGCAGCATATTTTGTGATAGCAAGAACTGGAAACAATTGATTAGGGGGCATGGCTGAACAAACTGTGGTGTGTGAACGTAAAGGAATATTGTTATTGTGCGGTAAGAGATGATGAGGCAGTATTGCATAAATAGTCAGCCAGCCTCAGGGTCAAGGATCAAGTCCTATCACTAAAAAATACTGGCTGTGTGACCTTGTGCTTAGAAAGGGACTAAGCTTTATTGGAGAAGAAATTCATCATTGGAAGCTCACTATAGTCATAAGATCACAAGAACAGATGCCAAATAGCAGAAAGCAGAAGTGGAGAAGAATATACATAACTACACTTATAAAAAACACTAAAAGGAAGTCAGACTCTGAGTAATTTTAGTGATTAATCCTAAACAGATTAAAAAAAATACCTCTTTCTTTTTGGCAGAAGTAAAGGAATACAGAGACAAGATATTGGAAACACTGACTGACAGTCACCGTATAAGTTGTTTTTGCTGAACAAATTTTTCTTACAAAGAAGAGTTCAGTGCTCTGTGTGTGTGTGTGTTTTTGTTTTGTAGGGGGAGTGGAGTGCTCTACCTGAAAATGACTAATGTAAAATCAAAAGGTATCCAAAAATTATTTTGGATTTTTAAAAAAGAACTGAAAGGAATGAGGTCTTGAAGCAAAGGTTGGAGAGTTACTTGTTGGACATGTTATAGTGGTAGTTCTTTCTGTGTATGGGTTGAACTTAATAGCTGCTAAGGTCCCTTCCATTCTCTCAAATTTTTTCGACTTTGTAACCCAAAGAAACTCACTACTCTAGGGGATTCCCAGGTCAAGGACATATAGGAATATAGTGGATTAGAGGTGTTTTGCAAAGGGATTATAGATACATCACTCAAGGGTCTGTCTTCTGTCTCTGATGTAGGAACCAGATTCAGTTGATTTGGAAGAAAGTCCATGCATAGGACTTTCTGCTCAGCCAACTGAATCTGGTTCTGACAGGATAAAGAGCTAAACTCAAGATTGCTAGGTTCTTTACCTTTGGGAAGAAGTCAGAGAGCTAAAAGACATGACTTTGGCTGAGACTCCATAATATGTACATACTATCCATGCCTCCAGCTAGTGTACCTGTACCTGTACATTTCACCATGGTGTCTTTCAGTTCCCGCCTCTCTCTCCGAAGCTGTGCAAGGTGATTCCGGATTTCTTCCTTCTCCTTCTCAAGCCTCCTTTTTTCCTCTGTGTACCGCTTCACTTCAGCCTCAGTCCTATTCTTGCCAAGTTTAATTTCTACAGGTGCTACAATGGAAAGGAGGACACAGTATCACCAGCAAATTTCAACCTCCTTGGAGAGGCCATAACTGAAGAAACAAAGTTAGAAACCACCCCCACAGCTGAGATCTTGATGGGACAGAGGATAGAGAGGTGGTCAGGGACAGAATTTTAGTACCTGCACTTAAGAGACAGGGAAAGGAAGTGGAGCTTTTAAAGAAAAGTGAGAAGAAAAAGTCGGAAAGCTTAGGAAGGAGGTAAATCAAAACAGTGAGGTGTTAAATAGAGTGGCCAAGAGAGAAGACTCCAGGAAGGAGGGGATGGTCACAACCATGTCAAATACTAGAGCAAGATAAAGAGAGGAGAAAGGTCAATGGATTTGGTGACTGGGAGGTCACTGAGAAAATAGCCTGATTGTTGAATCAAAGAGCTGGAAGGTACATGGTACATAGATAGGAAACCCACCTGCAATGATCCCTTTGGCCTTCTCAGTTTTCTCTTTAGGGGTAGCCACTGGCTGCAGATGAGTACCTGTTGCTGTGGAGAATGCAAAGTCAGGGACACTCTGCGGGAAAGAGATTTTCTGTTGTTGGGTTTGGATTTTGACACCAGTGCCTCTCGGTGACAGCTCTTCTGATTCAGTCCTCTCTGGTTGTTTCTGTGTTTAGAGAAAGTAATGGTAACTGAGACAATGGGAAGAAATAGGAAAAGAAAAGAAAACAAGGTGGTTTATTTGCGTGTGGAGTTATCCAGTACCTGCTCTTGTACCATTTCCAAAGATTTTCTGCAGAATTCTGTTTCCCTGTCTCCTGAAGAAGTTTCAGCACTGTCTTCTAATTCTGTCTTAAAAATGGCTTTTTCCAAAAGTGGAGAGGAAGGAGGAGAAGGCTGGGCTTTGACATGATTGGGGCCAGGTGGGACAGACATAAGGGGTGTGAGGTCCAAGTACACTCGATCTAATTCTTCAGATGTGGTTGCTTTCAGAGGGGTGGCTTCTTGTATTTGTTCCACCTGCGAAGGAAAGAGACAATAAAGCAGACACCTGAAAAAGTTTCATAAAAGCTTTTGCCACCTTCTACTTGGAACACTATGGTTTTAATATGTATCTGATAAGCTCCTAATTGAATCAAACCTTCTGTACTACCTTGTCCTGCTAACCCATACCTGAAGTTTGAAGGATTGCCAGTGAGGACAGAAATGCAGCCTCCAGGGATGGGATGGGAATTCATCCCTCCCTCCCTTGCTCAGGGACTTCAAGACTTCAGGAGAATGAAAAATGCATCTTCTTTATAATGTGATTAGAAATCTCGCTATACTGTAATCCTGGTACTTTCAAAACCACAAGAAAACATCTCTACCTCCTAGCTTTGGTGAGATTGGAAATCTCCACCTCCATTTCTGCATTCAGAAGACATGGGCTACTCCTTTAGGCCAATCCCCTAGGTTCCAACCTCATTTTCATTGCTGGCTTGGGTCCTGAAAGGGCCAATCTACTGATTTTTCAAGAGGTTAGTTGTCAGAATGCAAGAACTAACTGCTTTCTAAGATCCAATGAATGAACTCTGGGTGTTTAAATGTTATTACTGCCTGTAACACAAACACATTTCACACCCAGCACTAAACAGTTGGCTAACCAGTTTGACTATGCACTGGCAACCTACAAAAGATCCTTTGCTATCCAGACATCTCTATTCCTGCTGTCATAAGTGGCCCTATAATACTATTCTCTCACCATACAGGAAGTCTTTGACACTACTTCTCAATTATTCCAGTCATCCTTTTTAGACTGACTGCTAAGGGTGCCTAAGATTCCATAGCTCTATAGTAAAAATGCTCTGTAGAAATATTCCCAAATCCCTAGGTTGTGAATGTGATTCACTCACTTCTACAGGACGTAGAAAGTGGTAAAATAAAATACATCAGAAGCTAATATTCATACCCTTATTGGTGTAACATTTTGAGCATGTCTCTCCACGAATATTTGTATATGTAGAGGAGGAAGCAGTTACCAGTCCCTGCTCCAGAGTATAGGGCTTGCCCTCTGAGGAGCTCCTGCCACAGTCATGAGGTAATTTGAGAGACAGGAGGTGAAAGGTGAAGGGCAGGTAGGGTTTTGTTGGAGACAAGTTCCACAACTGATGTATATGCTGAGAACTTGCTTCAACTTCTTTACCTATTCTGCATGGCACATGAAAGTGTTCATAAAGTGAGCAGTGCTAGCAAATCTGGATCAATTACAGTATTTGCATACTATTAGGATCACCTCTTTTTGCACATCTGTCAAGAGCAAAAACTTACAAATGTTGGCTCATTTGCATCCAGAATGACTTCATCATAAGGCTCCTCATGCTGGTGACCTTTAGGCAGGTTATCGATATAGGCGTTAGGCTCTGAATACTTTCTCTGCATCAAACTGGAAGACATGAGCATGAGACATTAGGGGAGAAGGCAGCAGATGGCCATCTCTTTGCTCAAAGTGATTATGGGAACATGAACATTAGAAATATTCAGATTCTCTTCAATAGGAATAGATATAATCTAACGAGAGCTTACTCAGCATGTCTTCCTCTTCCTGGATTGAGAGCAATTATGAGGAACCATAGATGGGTCTCATTATTGGAGACTTGGATCTCATATCCTGGGCCTCTTATTTTGTGCATGCTGGCAGAAATAGAGAGCCCAGTCCCTCCAGGCTGAGGGTGCTGAACAGAACTAGAGGAAAGTGTTTTGTTTGTTTTGCCTTGATCTGTTGTTTCATGCTGGGTAGGGAGGTCCCAGTGAGGGACTTTTAATACCAATGTTGGAAGGCGCTCTCTGCAACTTCTAGTGATAAAGAGTTTCCTGGGGGACTGAGAGATCAGGTGATTTGTCCACAGTCACACTGCCAGTATGGTTTGGAGGTGGGATGTGAATCCAAGTCTTCCTGACTCTGAAATTAGCTTTTCACATGTACAAGGCCATACTAAATCACTTTCAATGAGAAATAATGTTACCTGCTTCAAAAGTAACTTACTTATGGCCCTGCTCCAGTTCCATGAAAACTGAAAGTCAGAACTGGAATTCATTCTAGTGTTCCCTTTCCTGCATACACAATCCTGCCTGAGACAGGAAGAAGGAAGCTTTTCCCCAGAACTTACAAGAAAGAGGTCTTTGCTGCACTCACAATGCAGGAAACTCGATCTGCATCCACATAGTCATAGGTGAATTCTTCTGGGTCTGTCTTGGACCCAGATTCGGACAAAAGGAGGCCCAGCCAATGGCCCATTTCCTCAGACGATTTGGCCTGAGAAAGGAGAAAACAGATCTGGCCAATCAAGACAGCACTGCATACATTCCAAAAGGCCTTTTCACTGCCAAGGTAAGGCATTCATTCACCAGGAAGGGTCAGCACATGTGCATTTAAAAAGGATCATCATTCCCCCAAGAGCCACCTTTACAAGCAAATCCTGGCCCAGATGCAAAAACAGTATTCAAAGTGTATTGATTGGGAAACTTTGCCTTTAGCTTTCCTCTCTTCATAAATATGTATGTGGCACAACATAAAGGAACATTTGGCAACATCACCTATTTGATTTATTATGTTGCTCCATCACCAGGAAAGAATTGCTTGAAAATTCATGATCCTTAGACTTACATGACTGGAAACTTCATGATGGCAGGGACAAGGTCTTATATAAGTTTTGCCAAGCCTAGTGCTTTACACTCAGAAAGTGCTAAATGCTGTGTTGCAATGTTAAGTACATATAGTTATTCGCTGAATACCCTAATCACAGATAAATCTGTATGTAGGCCTCAGGTAGTGCAATAGCTTTGAAATTTCAATATCTTCTAATGTAGAGATAGCCCTGATGGAATAAAAGCAGAATGTCTCACTTAAAGCAAATATTTACCATTGACAATCCATGGGTAAACAGAAATCTAAATTCATGATTTTGCTTGTGATTATTCTATGTGACAATACATTGTAACTCACATACACATACTGTTAAAAAGAATGTTACATTCTTCTTTAGTGTATTAATAACAATCACTCATCTATGTAACATCTTAAGGTTTACAAAAGACTCAACTCCAAACAGCCATATGCAGGCAGACTATAATTGATATTTATAGGGCACCTTAAGGTTTATAAAGTATCTTAAATAGGTTAATTTCAACTGATAAGAATAGAATTATCCACATTTTACAGATTAAGAAACTGAGGCGAAGAAATGTTTCAAGGACCCTACGGTTAGTATGTACAGGAACTGTGACTTAAACATTGGTATTCTGATTCCCAAACTAGTACTTTGCTGTATACAGTGAAAATCCTTCCAGAAATTATTATGATTCCCTCTAGGGAAAGAGGCGGAACAATTACCATGTAAGCTCTGGCATGACATGGGAGATTAGCAAATCCCAAGCAAACGCTGACAATGTAGTTTTTTTTTTTTTAAAAAAGGACAGTTATGAGAGCACCCCTGCCCCCAACTTATGGTGTAAATTTCCTGGCTACCTTTCTAAATTCATGTTATCAATACAGAACAAGTAAATTAGAGCTATAATGCCACACAATAGAAGGGGTAGTCAGAAAATTAAGGAATCAAGATTGTATTTGAACTTGTGCCACTAAGGGAAATTGTGTGTTATCTTAAACTAAAAGAAATGGTTGAAGATGCATCAGCAGATACCGAGAACGCATCCAATATGGCATTTTCATACATATAGGATCCTGAAGCAACTGCATGGAGGCTGTCCTCCCACTAGAGGGCAATACTGGAGCATAATTTTAACAAAAATGTCTTTAGGGTTAGGGGGACTTGGGACTAAAAGCACATAAATTATACAGGTACATACAGATACACCCATCTAACAGCAATTATCGAGTGTCAGACAAGATGACATTAGGCCAAAACAATATTATAGAAGACAGCTACTTTGACAGAAACAAAGATAGAACTGCTATGTATATAACACCATTACGGCAGGATCAGGTGATAGTATAGTAAAATTATTGCAAGATGACATTAGTTGGGATAATGTTATGCTAGGGAGGGGTGTGCGTGTACAAATACGTACATACATACACACATACACACACACACACACATAGACACACACTCTTTAAGGACTCATTTCATCTGGATTCCTTTACAAATAATCAACAAAGAAATGCCACTATGTGTCAGGCATTATGCTATTAAGTATTGGGAACACAAAAACAAGAAAAACAGTCCTGCCTTCAAGGTATTTATATTCGAATAAGGGAGACAACATGTGCATAATATATATGTAAGTATATATACCAGATAAATGCAATGTGGTTATGGAAGGGAGAGTACTAGCAGCTGGAGGGTATGGGAAGGGAAAATTCACTCTTCTTGTCCAACCTTCTAGTGATCTCATCTAGTGATGTACTTCTCTCACCTCAGCTAACCAACTCATCAACAAGGATTTATTAAGTGCCAATATATCAGGTATAAGGGGTTTAAAGACAAAAAAGAAACAGTACCTGCACTCAAAAAGCTTAAATTCTGCACGCTGACAACAGACCCACAAATCACCCCTATACCCAGGTGGGACCTGCCAGAGCTGGCACTCCATTGCTGACATGGCCTTTGAGATTTCAGGGTCATCCTTGTGGAACCAGCTGGTGATACACCAGTTAGAGTTCTGGACCTGAAGTCAGGAAGAGCAGAATTCAAATCTAGCCACAGATACTTCCTAGCTGTGTGATCCTTGGCTAGGTACTTATCTCAGTTTCCTTAATTGTAAAATGAGGATGATAATAGCACCTACCTTGCAGGGTTCTTGTAAGGATCACATCAGATAATAGTTGTAAAAAGTTAGCACATAGTAGGTGCTATTTAAATGCTTATTCCCTTCCCCTGGGTCTCATAAGGCATCAGAGTGAGATTTTAATGAAGGATAGATGGACAGATACATACACACACAACACTCATATCCATGATGAGTATACAGCAGCATTAGTATGTTCCTTTTTAACCTTAGTCTAATAGTAGCATTAGATTGTGTTCCATTTTTATACTTGTACTTCCTACCCAATGGCAGCTATAGAAGGATGAGGTTTTTATCCAGCAAGTTGCATATGTGTTTCTCAAGCCCAGTTATATCTCAGATCAGCTCCAGTCACATCATTTTTTATTTTACAGTCACAGAAGCCTCCATCTGGTGCTGCATAAACTAAATAAACCCCCCTTTTGGAATCTCTAGAAGCCTTTTTAGCAGCTCTGGGATCTATAAATAACTTTTCCACCATAAATGCAGGAAGTCGTTCTCATTGTCCTCCTACTTTACCATAACTGCCCTGAGGTCAGAAAGGGAGGGATGAAAATTTAAAAAAAAATTAAAAAAACAATCTCAGACAAATGTTAAGTAAAAATAATGCCAGGCTATATTTAATTGCCCTTTGCAAGCTTACAGTGCTGTTCTGGATTTCCAGTTAACTCCTGCTACCTCTAAACACAAGCCACCTCTAAGTCCCTGCCAAACAGAGATGGTGTCATGTTTTGGAAAAAGCTAGAAAGAAGGTGCCTCAATTCCTCCACTCACTAGCTTTGTGAGGCTGAGCATTCACATGGCTTCTCACAGGCTCCATTTCCTCATATATAGAATGGGGATAATCCTATCTGTATCACCTGCCTCACAGGGCTCTTGTAAAAGAACAAATGAAATCATGCATGTGAAAAGTGCTAAATATAATTGTAAGCTGCCATCATCATTGAGCACACGCAGATTACCTCAAGCATGGCTATCTCCTCTCCATTGTTGAGAATCCGAAAGGAATAGAGGTGATCAGGGCTGGGATTTGGGATAACTTCGCATCCCACCAGGCTGAGCGGCTGCTGTGCTGATTTATTGCGGTTCCTGTCTTGGTAGATGTGGAGGTGGCTCTCCTTCACGCAGCACCATCGGGATTTCCACTGGCTGTTGACCAGGACATTCAGGTAACCTACCAGGAAAGGACTATCTGTAATAGGGGCAGAATCACTCACATCCAAGCCTCAGTCCTGGGAATACAGAGTCACTTCACTGGACCTGCATCTAAGGAGCCTCCTTACATACAATACCATAGTAGTCTTTACGTGTGTGTGTGTGTCTGGGTGTGCGTGTGTGTGTGTGTGTGTGTGTGTGTGTGTGTGTTTTCTGTGAGTTTGGATTTTGAAGGAATGAGAATGTGATTACACTTATGTATTACTTTTATAGGTGTACAGCACAGCATGGCCGAAGAGTCCTGAATTTGGAATCTGAGAATATGGGTTCGAGGGTGAACCCACAGCTAGTATTTTTCAGGTCACATTAGTTCGTAAAACTTAAGAGCTGGAAAAGATCTTAGAGATAATTTTTGACCAACCCTCTCATTTTATAGAGGAAGAACCCAGAGACCCAGAGAGATTAAGTGACTTGCCCAAAGTCACATAGATAGCAAACAGCAAGGTTGGAAATTTGAACTTTGGTCTTCTGCACCCAGATACAGGATCTTCTGGTCCTCAAGTTTTCTTTTCTCTAAAATGATAGCGTCATACTGGATAAATGGTTTCTAAGGTCTCTTTTGTTTTAAATCTATGATCTGTGAGTAGGAAGTATATTGTGCCCCAAATTAGACAATACTGAATAATAACACAAAATATAAATGGACTGAGCCATGAGGAAATAACCCGGGCAGGGTTGGTGAGGCTCAGATATGAATGCTGCCCCTCTGAAAACAGATTTGAGAGGCAGCTAGGTGGCGCAGTGGATAGAGCACCAGCCCTGGATTCAGGATGACCTGAGTTCAAATCCAGCCTCAGACACAACATTTACTAGCTGTGTGACCCTGAGCAAGTCGCTTAACCCCATTGCCTAGCTAAAAAACAAAAACAAAAACACAGATTTAAACTGATTTGATTCTTATCCTAAAGCTGTTCTTTGCTTACATAAGCAGTAGTTGGTGGAAAATCCTCTGCCTAATAGAGAGAGAGTCCCTATTTCCTGCTCTAAATCTTTCTTCCCATGGTTTTGGTGAGGCCAGTGTGAAGCCCCTTAACCTCTTAGCTGCCAGCACAGGAAGTTCTTTAAGTGTGTCCCCCTCTCTCTCTCTCCCCACGTCCACACAGATATGCTTTTCTTATCAGGCACGTCACTTCCCTGTCCCACAAACATACCTTCATCGTTCTGGCCCCACATGCCTTGTGCTCATAATGCTGTTTCTTTCAAGAGTACTCTCCTCTTTCTCATCTATCCAAAGCCTATCTATCTTTCAAATATTAACTCAATTGCCACCTCCTTCATGAAGTCTTGCAATTGCTCTATCTCTCAATCAGCAGTGACACTTCCAACTCACCCAGCTTACTGCTTAATCAGATATACTGTTTTCTTTGTATTCTCTGTGTCTTAGTATTGCATCTTCAATCAAACCACAAGCTGAGCTCCTTGAGGCAATGACTGTCTCATCTTTCCACATCCCCAGTATTCTCTAGTTTTGTCCCCAGGGAATTGTGGGTGTTCATTGTCTAATTAACAAAATAATCTAAGACATTTTGATCATTCTTAAAGTCATTTTGCACATACTATAACCTTGACTAGAGACAGGGTCATAAGCCTAGTACTTCTGTTCAATGCATCCCATTTCCTTCCTGGGCCAAGATGAAACATGTCCAATTTATATATCTCCATGTTTCCCACCTAAAGTGGAAGCGAACTGAGGTCATGATGCTAGTTCTTACTAGAAACTGAATTGGAAGTAGAGGTGAATTAATGGGGGATGGGAGGGTAGTGCTTTTCAAACCTTAAAGCACTCACTGTATAAATGCAAGACATTATTATTACTAACTTATGCCAGTCTATTCTAAGGATCAGCCAAGCCCTGGGAAGGGTAGCTACTTTGTTCTCCCTAGGCCTTTCCCATCTCCTCTGGGAATGGAAGGACATTTCATTGCTGAGCATACTTCCAGAAATAACACTGCTACAACACCCAGAAACAATGACTCATTGGCACTATTCTCATGTAGCACCAAACCATGCCTTCTGGAGGCTGTACTCTGAGATGATGCAATATCTACACAACTAAACTGGCACCAAGGGGCACAAAACACCCTTGCTGGAAAACCACATGGTCTCCAAAGGCAAGGTCAGGTTCTCATCCCAGTGCAGCATCAATTTTCAACATCCATGAACTCTGGGAAAAGTAATTTTAATGCTTGGAACAACACCCAGACCACCATGGACAAAAGATAATGAACAAATCAATGATAGATACTGAGAGATTAAAAGATTAAAGGAAAAGAAACTATATCTTATGAAGAAAGGTGAAATGTTTGGGCTAAAAGAGAGCCAAGGACTAATGATAATTACCTTCAACTACTACAACCTCCTAGAAAGAATACTTGTCTGAGAATGCTGTATACCTGGTTCTAGTCTTAAGACTAAATCACTAATTTCATAGGATCATAGGACTTGGAGCTGGGGAAGACTTTGGAAATCAACTCAATCCAATGTCACCCTTTTAGAGCTGAGGAAATTGAGGCCTGGAGGAAAGAAAATGTCTTGCCCAAAGTAAGACAGGTTTTCAGTAGCAGAGCTGGAATTTAAACTCCTTTGACTACAAATTTAGTGCCTTTTGCAACGCCTCTGAAAATATCAGTTTCCACATCTGAAAAAATGAAGAGGTGTAGCTATGGTACAATGGCCTGGGAATCAGAAAAAAACAGATTATAGCCTTGCTTCCACCACTATCCATCTAATCCCAGACAAGTGCCTTTCCTCTTTGAGCCTGTTTATTCATCTGAAAAAGAAGGGGGATTAGATCGGGAACTTCTAACGGAGTTTCCAGTTCATGTTAGAATGTTAGGATGTTACCTCCAATTCTAATACTTAGACAAAAGCTTCATTACACCTAAACTTATCCACTTCCCTTGCCCTAAGGATGCCTTGTGCCCTCCCTCCTTCATTACAAGTCTTCGGCTCACAATTTCCCATCGTCAAATGCCCATATTCACTTCCATAAAGTCTTCCCTCAGGACCCCACTCAAAGAACAATCTCTTCCTCCCCTGGATTCCTATGATGTTTATTGTCAGCACCACTCAAATGGCATCTATCAAATACTGCTCTTTAATTGTAGCTTTTGGTAAATGTGTCTTCCTGCCTTGCCAGATTAAAAGCTTCAAAGACCTTTATCTCTTTGTAGTCCTCATAAAAAAAAGTGCACATATATATGATGCTTTAAGGTTTACTTTCCTCACAGCCACGTTGAGAGGAAAGGAGTATAAATATTATTATTCCCACCTTACAGATGAGGGAACCAAGACTTAGAGGAATGAAGTAAATAGATAGGAACAGATTCTGAGCTGCAAGACACCTTAGAAAATCACCTAGGTCTACCTCTTCCTTTTATAGCTGAGGAACCTGGGACTCAGAAAGATTATTATGTGACTTGTCCAAGGTTACAAAGACAGGATCTACCAGGGACAAGATTCAATGGCAGGTTCCGACTCCAAATTCAGTTTCCTTCACTAGACCATGCCTCCCTCTAAGTTCCAGGTGAAGCTCCTACAGAAGGCAGATAGCTCTGAAATGGGACTTCAACGAGTGCTTCTAACGCCAACTTCAGTCCATTGGAAAATACTTTTCTCTCCAGTGCTGCTTCTTAAGCCCTTTTTACAGTGCTTTCTGTGCTTAAGAACTACTTGCTGAATGAATGAATGAATAAATGTATTGAATGTATTAAAGTTCTTATGAGGTTGCTGGCCAGTTCTCTAACTGCAGAGAACTGAATAGATAGCAATGTGATAAAATTGCAGCAAGAGAAAGGTCGTTTAAACACACGGAAAGGGGCTGGATCTGTGAGCAATATTTCACTGCACTAGAAAATGCCCTGGTGAGTGAGTACCCACTACCACTGCAGGTCAGCACCTTCCAGTCTCAGCGTTGTGCCAGGTGCTGTGAGATGAAGTGACTTGCTAGAGGTCACATGGCCAGTATGCGTCAGAGGTAGCACTTGAACTCAGGTCCTCCAGACTTCAGTCCTAGCTCACTATCCATTAAGCCATGTCTGCCTTTCTGGTTAGATGTAAAAAAAAAGTTTATAAAGATGGTGAAGGAAAACTGGAAGAGACCACTATGGGAGGATGAATAATCTTTATCCCTAGAGATATAGTAAATTAGGAATAAATAACACTCTATCTTAGATGGCTTAATTGTTCACCTGCCTGTTGGCAGGTCTTTTCCAGCTTTAAAAGTATATGATTCTTACTGGATGTCTCCAGAGACCTCTCAGCATTCTCCAGTGAAGTGGATTTCTTCCTCCCCAGGTTCATCAAGTTGCTCAGTTTGAGGCCTGCTGTACCTTTCTTCTTAACTAACAAGAATGGGGAGAAGAAATTGGCATCACACAAATCACACAAACAAACCCACACCCAAAGCCTACCAAAGATCTCAGAGATTCCCTTCTTGGTCTTCTTCTCCTCACAAAAATCTATAGGCCAAGTGAGTTCACACAGATGTCTCCCTACTGACACGGACAGGACATGGGAATCTTTTAGGAATACATTGGCTAATAACAGAGAATGCTTAAAATTTTTAAAGATAATTAGCTGGGATAGATGAAAAGTTATCCATGTTATCTCAAAAACAAACAAATATGAACTTAATAGGTTAACAAATTGGATGCGATACTGACCCCCACCCCCAACTCTATCTGTACCATCCCCTAGGAGTAGGTTGGTAAATGACTTTCACTTGAGCCCATCTACCTCTCACCCTCGAATGCCATTTCCCTCACCACCCCACAGGGCAGGAACTCTGTTACCATCTTTGGTCTCTGTGGTCTCAGGATGACCATCCACACCACTCCCACATTCCGGAGCTGACAGGTATTTCTCAGCTATATCTGGCTGTCAATGAGAAAGAGAAAAGACAAGTGTAACTATACGCTGATATTAGTTAATATGTGGAAAATCTTGGGAAAAATCATTTTCCCCACTGTGAGCTAATGATAATCCTACCCATGGTGCAGATATAAATTCTATTATCTCCTCCAACTCTAAGGCTCAATGACCTGGACCCTGAAAGCTTTCTACCGTGTCTTTTGAAGTTTCCCTGAGTTTTTTCCATTGTTCTCCTGCCTTTGGACCCCTCAAATTACCAAATTACCAAACCCATTTTTCTCCTTAGTTCTCAAATGTACAAAGGGACTAGTTGACACTCGGAAAAAAAAAATACCATTCAAAATGATTTTATCCATACTTGCTGCAGGAGAGTGGAGCAGGCAGACTGTCTTAGAAATTAAATATTAGTCAATATCCCAGTGGATGCTGAGAAGCCCATCAATAACAAGAAAGTGAATAACAGAATCTATTTCTAATTATGCTACTCTCAATATGTTAAGGTATTTACACAAAGAAGTGCAGATATAATCATATCTAGTAGCTTCACAGACCAGCCTTCAAATAATAAGGTTTAAGCTTCTCTTATACTAATTTAAGGGAAAAAAAATCCATTCATCTAACTTGAGAACTGGGCTATTCTAAAAGCATCTGGAAAAGAAACCAACATTTATAGCTCCCCAAATAAAGTAATCAACCTTCAGTGGAAACAATTCCAATGATCTTATATCCAAGGTAATTCCTCTCTGTGGCAAAGCAGAGATCCTTTTTCTAGGCTTGGTTTTGGCACGGATTCTCTATTTGTGGTGATGGCTCAATGTATGCCTATTTTTTCATTCCCCCTCCCTCCCTTCAGCAATGTCCTTATTCTTTATTTATGGCATCATACATTTTTCACTGTGAACACTCCTTCCATCAGACCCAGATCACAACCTCTCCTCATCGTAAGAGTCAGTCTTTGTTGTAACTATAAAAAGATAACTACTTGGGGGACAACCTTCTGGTAATGGGTCTTTACAAACCTAATTAGGCTAGTCCCGAGGCAACAGACATATTGTTTATCACCAGACCCACTCTTGTACCCTTCCCAACTAGGTGGGCTTAACCAGAATGTAGATCCTGTTGGCATAACCTTTAAGAACCTAGGATTAGTTCCACACCCCAATGAGACATGTGAGTAGGACTTTAGTAGAAGTCCCTTCAATGATAAGGAAATAATAATAATTAATAACTAATAAGGGAAGTTTTAAAACCTTATTCCAATTCATAAGAAAGGCAGGGAGAGAGGGGAATCATCAGTTTTTAATGGATACCAGGGTAAAAAAATATCATAGAAGTGTAAAAATGTTCTGTCAAAAGGATTATTGGCAACTTCTAGCCTCCAAATCCTTGGTATACCAAGATAGATAAAGATGAGAAAAGCCAGGATCATAGAGAGTGAGTCTTCAGCTCCAGACTCACTCCATTTGCTCTCACCACAGGAACTAAGTAGGATGCCAAAGTTACATGGTTGACTGGACCTATTCCTTATAGTCAGGAGATCAAACTAGGCTGCCCTGGGCTTCTGTCTTTTAAACTGTCTCAAAGCAAATAAGAGTCTTTATTGCTTGATAAACACTTAAGAACACTATTCAGTTTTCACTGGGAGAAAACAGACACACAAAATAAATCTCCCAATTTAAGAATCTAAAACAAAGTTAATATTGTTACAATGAAGCTTTTTTCTTCCTCAAGCAAGAAAATACTTTAAGTCTATATCCATTTCATTTGTTTTCTAGCCAAGATAAAGTCACTGTGCTTATCCAAGCATAGCATGTTTCTTATTAATTGGACTGAAATGCAAAAACAAAGCTCCCAATTTTACACTTTCATTTTAAGAGGGAAAAAAAGAAGAATTAGGAATCTCCTCTGCAGAGAGGAGCTAGGCTTACTTTCTGACAGTTGAGACGCTGAGCTTCGGGGGTATACTGGTTTCCTTCAAAAATTCCTTCAGAAGGCAAGCCACTGACCTCTTGGATGACCTGAGTAGGAAGAGAGGAGCAAGTTAGTGGGTCAGACTCAGGACCAGACTTTAGCTGCTCCTCACTCAGGCTTGTTCATTGCCTGCACTTTGATTCAGTCAGAACTAGTACCAGAGATCCTAGGAGTCTCTTGAGCATAGACAGATGGTGGTGTGTTAAATGATTTTCCTCCCAGGTACCTGAACGTTTCCATGTTATTCCAGGACCAGTCCCAAATTATAGCTCAGAACTCTAGAAACTCTTGAGTTTTTCTAGCTGGGAAAGGTTATTAGGGTTCTCAGACCCCATACGATTATGTTCAAAGATGGAAAAGGGGAGCATATCGCCAGGAGATGTAGGTTGTAGGGAATGAAGTCAATCAAGCTAATCCTAGTCACTAACATTTTGAGTTCTGTGGTTGGTACAACACAAGTGAAAACTTTTTGCCAGAAATGGGCCTGCTACCAGGCATTGTGGTCCCCACTGCTTTCTGTTAATAGTTCCTTTGCGGTTTCAATAAATTTTCCACATTTCCTGAAGAGCCTCCTTCTTCTTTTTAGTATGTAGGAACCCTCTCTATGACATGGTCTCAAACCCAGCTAAGGAGAGACAGTGCCTCTGAGAAACAGTTTCCTTAATATCCTCACTAGTCTGCTTCTTCCTCTATGGAAGAATGTCTTTATTCATGGCTAAAGGGTTGAATTGGAAATACAGAGAGAAGCAATCAGGCTGGCTGGCCCTTTGACCTGCAGATGCTAGGACTTTACAGGATGACCAAAACCAGAGCTATTGCTGCAAGGGAGTTTCCTACAGTCACCTAATCCTGTGCTTTCTGGTAACACTCAAATTGAGCTACAGTTACAGCCAGAGGCAGTCATTCCACACATTGATGTATATAGGGTTCACCCCAGATGCAGAATTGCTTAAAGAAAAGAACCTCCTTCATCCCTGGTCCTTCAGCTCCAGAGAATCCGTTAGAGATTGATTTTGAACCAGCTGAACTTTTTTGATTCTGAGAGCTCAGTGAGAATGCTTCAGGAAAGGCAAAATCAAACCTTAAGTTTACTTCACTCACATAACAGTTTGGGATTCTGGTAGCTCAAAGCTACAGCTCCTCCCAAATCCTGGGAGAAACACTCATAAGCTGAATCTCATTCAGTTCTGAGAGCCTGGGGTGACAACTGGCTGCTACTGCCTTCAGCTCTGGGGACTCTACTAGACTTAAGGCATCTTCTGAGTTTTCTTCATTTGTTTCTGCGTGTAAAACTGAATCCTATTGTGAGTCAAAGTCTGCCCTCCCTCCTTCAGCACTCCCTCCCTTCCTGGCAGTCCTCAGCCCAGGGCTTCCTCTCTCAATTCCCAGCTCTCCTCCCTGGGGCCCCTTGAGCTCCTTCCTCCCATAAGCCTTCTCCAGATTCCCAGATGTTTTGCTTCAGCTGATACTCACTCAGGCTTGGTTCTGAAACAGTAAGTTAAGTGTTTTCTTGTTGAATTTCCAAAGGAAAACAGGGCAGGCAGTTGCCCTATGAAAAGTCCTGACATTTCCCTCTCTTCCTTGAATGTGTCTGGGGGTGAGGAGGGACTGAAAACCAAAGGTTTCACATCTTTAAACTGGTTGGGATACATTGCCCTACATCTTTCCCACTACTTACCCTCTGATCTCTATACACATTTCCACTTGCTCCAGTAACAACTACAGAGCCTGTCAACATGGTCCCACCAGATTAGAATGGAAGAGATAAGGGTCTCCTAGTCTCTGTCTACCTGGACTCTCTCAGATTCATATGAGCAGTGCTAAGTGAAGTTTTTTTTTTTTTCCAACTACAGAAAAGTGTACTACTGAAACCTCAAACAGTAGGCATGCTTTTATTCCAGGGAGTCTTAATCTAAGGTCTACGGCCCACTGGATATATTACAAAGGTTTTGTGATCTTGATTGGGAAAAAAATCTTTATTTTCACTAGCCATTAACTGAAGTTTAGTATTTTCTTCAATTATTTAAAAAAACACTATTATTCTGAGAAAAGGTCTATAGGCTTTACCATACTACCAAAGGGGGTCTATGGCAAAAAAAGGGGCTAGAACCCCTGCCCTTAGCCTGTCAGTACTTCAGAGGGCCACCCGGAAGAAGCAGATGGGAGAAAAGCAATTATGTTACTTAATTAGTCAGGCCATTCTGGTACTAAAATGTGACTAGGCACTTGTGAACTAGGCCATGTGAATAGAGCCCAATTAACCCTGTGGCTAGGGTCTCACTACTACCTCTAAGCATTTTTACAAAGTGAGGAAAGAAGGCCCTCATGAAAATATGACTAAGAAAAAGCTATGCATTTGGAAATAATTCCTCTGACAATTATGTGCTCTTACTCTGAATACAACCTGGTACAGGGCTTAAAAGAGTATGAAGTTAGTGGGCCTGGGTTCAAATCCTGCATGACCTTAGAAGAGTCACTTAAATCCTTCAGGGCTCAGTTTCCTCATATGTAAAATGAGGGGGGAGGGATAGACTAGATGAACTTGGAGGTTCCTTCCTACCCGGGCTCTGTGATCCTCTGAATGTTGTCAATCAAAACTAACCAATGAATTGGGGCTCTCCCTGTCCCTTCTCACCCCACTCCATTCTAAATTCCTAACTTCAGTCACCCAAAACATTTTGGACCCTGAAGAACCCCTCAGAACTAGGCTGCATGTCAGTGCTCTCATATTTTTTCTCTCTTTTTGCACATTATTAGGCACAAATGCTGGTAAGTTTAGAATATATGGGGTGTGGGGAGGTGGCATTCTCTTTTTCCAAGGAAGGCATTTTGCAAGGCCTCAGAAACAAGCTTTCCTCCCTTCAAACCCTGAAGTAGCTGAGTATTGACAGTTGGGGAGCTAGTGCCTCCAGCAGATGTTGTTTTCTGTTGCTTTTTAATAAGGCAATGGATGTTTAAAATTGCAGTTTGCAAAACCTCCGCAGTGCTTTCCAAGTCAGTTACATCCAGCAAGCTGCAGGGGGATGTTTCTTCTAAATAGAGACACTTCTAATTGGCAGCACACACAAATGGTAGTGAAGGGAAGGAGAGATGGAAAAAAAAAAGGGAAGAGTTGCTTTTGGCCAAGATTCTTCGGAGTGCTCTCATCCAGGTGCCAGTTAAGACTCAAGCTAGGGAGTATCCTTTGGAATCAAGAGAAGGGTAAGAGTTGGATTGTGTCTTTCCTCCTTCCCTGGTGCAAATCACAGTGAGGTTGGTTTGTTTATGGAACAGTAACAGCTTGGATGCTGCTGCTTCTTCACATCAACAGCAACAACTAGAAGAAGCATTTACTAAGCTCTAATTGGTGTATGCTTTCAATAAGGAAATAAGTGACTTGTCATTGCCTAGGAAATCAGAACAGCTAACTACTCCTTGTGGCATTCAATACCCTTCATCTGGTACCAGCCTACCTTCTCCAACCTCATCCATCACTCCTCCTCCCCCCACTGAGTACCTTCTGCTTGAGGGAAGCTAGCTGCTTCATTTTTAGCATTCCTGCTGTCACATCTTCCTTTGGATTCTCCCAATATGTAGCACCTCCCACACCCTCAACTTCTTATCTATGTAACACCCTTTAAACCCCAACTTCTTCATGAAGTCTTTCTCAGTTCCTCTGTCAAATAATAAAAGCACTCCCCATAACACTTATTATCTATACAATATATTCTGACATCTTCTTGTATTTAAATATACATCATCTTGTATTCTTTGGTCAGTTTATATGAATTATCTTTTGTCCCCCCAACTACATTACAGTTTCTTGATCTCTTACTATTGTACCTTATAGGCTTATCTACTGAATTAATATTTTCTGAATTAAATTTAACTTTGTGGCTGAAGAGATAAGAGACAAATCAATGAATTGTATTATCACTATGATAACAACCAAAGAAACATTCCCAGCTCCTCTAAGTTTTCTTTTTCTCTCTTTTTGAACATTACTTGGAAGTGCTAATAGAGTTAGAAAGGAGGTGGCATTTCATTTTGTTAGAGAAGATATTTTGCAATTAAGTGGATTAGAGGTTATATACCTGCCCAGGGGGTGTTACTAGGGAATAAAGGACATTTGTCACGAGAAGCCTTAGAAAAAACAGAGTGTGAAGTGAGAACACACAGCTTACTACCCTTCCCAATTATTCCCCCAATGATTTTTCTTGAAGAGCCATAAAAAATTGATGTGTCTTACTAGCTGTGTGACCCTAGGCAAGTCACTTAACCCCAATTACCTAAAAAAAAAAAATTGACGTGTGACTTTTGTTAACATCATGACACTAGAATTGAATGATAGTATATGTGAGAAATATTCCCCTCTGGAATCCTTCCTCATCCCCATCTCCTAAAGTCAGGAGTAGGTTCAGATGAGCTCCTAGGTCTAGACCATCCACAAATTCTCTCCCTCTTAGCTCTAGCAGAGACTGCCTCCAGTATTAAAAAGTACTCAGCATGCCACTGTGCCAACCTCTGGTTTCTTGGCAATGGAGTACAGAGGTGCCAATGCACAGGCAGTTTGTGTTACTGCCTGGAACTAAGGTTCTTAAGTAGAAAATGAAATCTGTTTACTATTTAGACATGTTTTGTACATGTGAAGGATTTGGGGAAAGGAGAACCAGATAGGACCAAAACACAGTTACATGGGACAAAATGACTTTGTTTTTGGTGGAGGTAGGGTCTCAAATCATAACATAACAAGATCAGGTGAAGGCACTGGGGATATTTAGCCTATTCAAGAGAAAAGTTGGGAGGATGTAAGAGGTGTATTCAATCATCTAAGGGACTTTCATGTGGAAGAGGTATTGGACTTGTGTTTGGCCCCAGAGGGAAATGAGTGGAAGCTGTAGACAGGAAAAATTCAGGAGCTTGATATAAGGAGAAAACTACCTAACAACTAGAGTTATCCTAAAATAGAATAGGTTGTCAAGGAGATAGGGGTAGGCTTGTCTGGAGCTCACTCTCACAGTAGTAGAGGTCTTCAGGCAAAGCTGAACTACATGTGTTACAGGTGTTACTGTAGAGAGGATTCTAAGTCAATTACAGTCTGAACCAGATGGTCTCTGAGGACCCTTAATACTTTTCAAGAGATTTTGTGAAAACATGACTTTAAGATGGAATGTTATTAAATCTGTCTTTCCTCAAAGCCCCCAAAGTAAGAAAGCAGTTCATAGCCTGCTGCCCCCTCCACCAGCCCTGACCCCAGTGAACACTCAGGAGACCAGGGAACTCTCCTCACCCGGAGCCACTGCTCTGCCTGGTCCTTGCTCTGCAGTCCCAGGACGATCACATCAGCATTTGTTGGCGTGATCTTCAGGTTGTGCTCTTTCTTCCTCACTTGTTTCTCCTTGTAGATGACATTACAGCCTACCAGACTCACATCAAGCTGGGGGTTGTGATCCTTGGAGGATTTGTAGCACTGGAAGCAAGAAGCCAGAATTAAATGGTGAGAACAACAAAAAGCGGGCCAACCATCGCTTTTGGAAAACCCACCAAACCAACCTTTATGTTATGAAACCAGGAAATTACTGCCCACCAAATCAGGCTCAGATAATTGGTCTTTGAATATCAGCATTTCTATCTTACCATGTAAATGGCTTTATGGGAAAGATGATCACCTTCCCATTCCCCAAGCTACTCTTTCCATCACCTTCAGTCTCTTCTACTGTTTTATTCTCTATAACATTACTTCTTCTCCTTTTCACTCCACCTATTTTCATCATACCTTCCCTGCTACCACCATCTTACTTGTAATGTCTACAGGTCAATGTAATGTAGTAAAAATTTTAATCCCAAACTGACTTTTCTCTATTTCCCAATAGAATGTGGTTAACTACCCCCGTGATCAGTGTTGTGGGTTTAGGCAATGTAATCTATGTTTAATATTAGCCTGAATAAAACTTAATTGGGCAAAGAAGGGAAATGAAAAGGCATCTCTCCCACTTCCGTACAAAAGTGGGGGACTCTGAGTGTGGAAAACTGCATTTAATGTCAGACTTTTTCTTGATGTATTGATAATTTTTCCAAACTGGTTTTTTTTTTTTCTCTTTGTTATTCTTTATAATGAGGTCTCTCTGGAAGAGGGAAGGGACGGGATGTATTGGGAGATGCAGGTGATAAAAAACAAAAGATATCAATAGAATTTATTTTGATAAAAGCTAATTGGGAAAGTTAAAAAATGCTAGAAAATAAAAGGTCATTCCCAAACTAAAGCTAATAGATTTTTATATCATCCAGTGTTTCTGGAATATCCCTACAATGTCTCCCCTCTGCTATATGAAATGATGTCTATGTACCGAGCCAATCGGGGCTATATTACTACAAATAATATAAAAGAATTAACAATTTAGTAAGGGATTTTTTTGTTGCCTTGATCAGGCACCAAATGAAAACAGTAAAGTGGCTAGAAAGGTGTATACAATCTGCTTGAAGTACAAAGGTCAGGGAGAAGCAACAGGGCGATATAAGGAAAGGTAGCCATGGCATAACAGCAGTCTTCACACGTAATGGAGAGCTGCCTGTCCATTGGCCAAGTCCACACCTGGCAACAGATGCTAATATACCTTATTGGTCTGGGCTAAAGTGACAGAAACATCTGCCACAAGCCTGAATCTCAGTGGCTGTAATTATTGACCTCTCCTCCTTCTGCCAAAGGGGGAAAAATAGGACTGATGATTCAAGTTAGGTACATAACAGTGTTTTGCTAACCGATAATCTGTTGTCCTTAATGACACACAACTGCTTGGCCCACTGCCCCAGCCACTTCTTCCTCCACAGGAAGGCACAGATCCGGGCATCCTTCATCAGCTCAATGGTAGCTTCTGGGGATGGCCATTGGTGGGGCGCTGACTTGCTCTTGCTGCTCTCTTCTTCATCATATGATTCATAGGAGCTACTCACAGGTTCACCATCGTCTGTAAGGAAGACCAGCTTAGTCACAGTCTGTCTGCCTTGGAAGTGAGAAGGTTGGCTCTAAACATGCTCTGTTCAGGCAAGGGACAAAGGGAACCAGACCATTACGCATTCAACAGGCAGGAATAAGTTCAAAACTAGACAGTGAGCAAGGTGTCCTGGATCAGAAGTGGATTCCAATAATGGCTTTTTGATCCTTTTGGCTCTTTGCTCTATTCTGTCTTCAAATGGTAAGATTCTTTTAGCTGGAAACCAGAAAGGCAGGAGAGAAACCTTTTCCTTTTTCCTCCCCAAATTCTATTGGTCTCAGATTCTAGGAAGTACTGATCAAACATGTGACATTTGTGCCCTTTCTGAGCCTTAATTTCTTCCTCTGTAAAACAAGGAGACTGGACTAGTTAGGCAGCAAGCAAACATTTACTGAGCATTTGCCATATGCCAGGAACTGTACTAATTTCTGTGGATAAAAAAACAAAGCAACCTAAAATGGAAAAAAAATTTTTACGTATACATACATATATATGGGTGTGTATATTTATATTTATAAGATGTGTATATGTATATTTATGTACATATATATCTACACATAAAGGTGCACACACATGAGTATGTACACATTTCTCTTTATGTGTATATAACCCCAAATTGTTATTTACTATATTCAATAATAATCATTTTCAAAAGCTTCCCTTTCCCCAAACTAAGTGATCTTTAAAGATTCATTCTAGCTCTTAACCTTAATGGCTCTATTTTAGGAAGGAAAGAGAGACAAACCAAAAACCCTGGGGTGACCTGGGAGTGTGACGAAAAGCAGTATTTATCTAACACCTAGACTGAAGGCTCACCTTTCTCAGGCATGGTTTCGCTTGATCCATTT